TGCCCCTATTCGGCCGGGGCTGTGGCCGACGGTGGCGGTAAGAAGCAGGATGCACTTCGGCGGCGGCCAGGCCCCGAGGAAGCGCGCGAGGGGCGTGGCGGGGCGGGCCGATTTCTCCGACAGGCCTGCGGGCCGGAGGCGGAGGGGTGGGAGGGTGCCCCTGGGAAGCGCAGCGGTGGCTGGAACTTCGGGTCCCCTAAACGCGGGCTGGAGGGGATCCCCAAGTTCCCGCGGTGGGCGCGCCCTTTGAGCGGTAGTTTGTCCTGAAGAAAAGTATCGCTTTGCTCCTATCTCCGGGAGTGTTGTCTGGATGCTCTTCTCAGACCCCTTTTTGTGAAGTCTTCAGAAACGGGGCCCAGGTGAGCAAGAGGCTCTGGAAACCGTTCTGTGCACCTTTACCCCACCTGTTTTAAGTAGTTCCTCACCTATGAATTATCTTGTAGCAAATGAAGCATAGCGTGCACGCTCCTCTCCCTCCACCATTTCCATTTTGGATGCTTGTTTTACAGTGTGTGCTCCTAGAAATGGAACTGTGCCAGAAGCTTTAGGTATACCTCACTGCATCCGTGAGATGGGCATTATTATGCTGTGCCTTTAGCCTAAGAGGAAATTTAAGATCGAAGAATTTAAGTAACTTATTCAACGTCACACAGTCATTCTGAATAGGCACCTAAGTCTAATTCACCCTCACCCTTGGATTTCCCAGTACTTGGCAGGCTATTCCAGTATAGAAGGGCATTGGGAATTACCTCCAAAATGAGCCCTTCTCTAGAAATTTTAAAATGTGCTGCTAGGTAAATACTATTTAGAATTCAGGACTGAGGCGTGGGTTAAAAATGAAATCTAGGATCTTGACTTATTTTTTGGTGTAATGGTTATTACTAGTATTTGTTTTAGGATTTGAAGTCTGGTTTATTATTTTCACCTAATATAAACACAGTATAGTAAATAAATTATTGGTGCCATAGAATCCTGACATACAATAATTAGGTGAATTTTAAATAAAAGAGTAGCAGAAAAATATAGTTGAAGCCAGGTAATTAAGTAGTCTATTCTTCTTGTAAATTTCTTTAGCTGTATTTTACTTGTAGTCTCAAAGTCCTTCATGCCTGCACAGAAATATGAGTTGTAAGTCTGACACTTGTCTGTATGTCCTGCATGTCCAGCTGAGAGCAGGCAATGAACCTCAGAGAGATTCTCAAGGCAGTCCTCTCTTCTCTTTGATTACATATTTAAGATTATTTAAAAATCAAAATGGAGTAACTGTGGTTCAGGCATCCAAAATGGAGCTGGGTGTTCATTGTGGATATGGTTTCAGACACATTCCTTTGTCACTGAGAACTTACATTTTCTCTGAACTGTATGGAAACTCAAGGACACTACCAGCTGTTTTCAAAACAGTATCTGCTACCCTTGCTAGCCACAACCTTGTAGTTTCAAATTTTCCTTGACCTTTGCAACTGTGTAATCAGTTTGGATCCCCAACCAACCCTTGTTTACCAAGCATCCTTACTTCTTGCCAGCTCCAATCCTAATTCTTGACAATTTATATAACTTGGTGGTTTTTTGCATTTACAAGCCTCACCTATTTTGTAGAACGTGGAACACAATTCAAGTGCTTCTTAAATCTGTGTCTCCCTGTCCTAACAAACCCCAAATAAATACCTCTTTATTTCAATCAGGCCTCCATTTCTAAAGTTTGGGTTAACAATTTTAATATCAAAAAAGGTAGTAAGTAGCCAGAAGGGAGAGAAGAAACCCAGTGAGAGCCCAGCTCCCACAAGTAAATCCGTTTGAGATCTCTTTGCTTTGTTTCCTGCCTAGGATGCTAAAGTGTCATGTTTTGGATTGCATTCCATGTGAACAATGGTCATCTAAGTCCTAAGTCTGGAAGAGGGTGCACTTTTATCCTCCCTTCTCCCCTCCAGGCTCAACAATTTGAAGAGTCTTTGTGCACCTGAGAGTTCTAAATGTCCTGAGAAGTGTTGTAGTTAGGAGTCTGTTTAGCTTTGTTTAATTCAGCATTTCTCAGACTTACTTGACGATAAAACCCATTCTTTTTAGAACACCTTTGGTCATCACGTAGATTAGTATCCCACAGAACACAGTTTGAGAAATAGTATGCTAAAATACATGAAAATTTCCTAAAATAAGTGATTATTATGTACATCATCCACAAGACAGAAAGTATGCTGACGTTAAACAATTTCAGAGAGTATCCAGTGACATAGGAAGAGTATCCACAATGTTAACTGAAAAAAAAGAGATGCCAGACTGTACTGATACGTTCTAATTTTGCTTAAAGATGCTTATATGTAGATATAAAAGAAAAACAACAGAGACTGAATACTCCTAGAAGTCAACTGTGGTGGTTCTTTGCTAGTGGGATTGTTGGTGAATGTTTATTTTCTTTTTGATATTGAAATTTTCAAGTTGTCTGGAATAAATGTGGGTTGTTTATTTTTAAAAAGCTTATTTTTAAAAACTGTAAGAAAAGTTTCTTTGCTTTCACTTTTAATATAATGTTCCTAATATAATCTTGTTTTGCACTTTGTTTAGCAAACTCTTTAGTTCATACAGTGCAGAAATCCACTCAGCAGAGAACATCTCTGAGATTCAGAGACTTAGACAAGCCGGATCCTGAAGACCTCAGGCTGGTCGAGTACTGAGATCTCTGAGCACAGACACTTAAAGAGACATACATACAAAAAAAGGCAGGACAGAAAACAAAGACAGTGTTAATGTGCTTCTAAGAGAAGTGTCAGTGTACCTCTCACCCCAGAAAGCATGGGCCTCAAAAAAGATTTTTTTAAAGTAATATCGAAAACAGTAAGACCATTAAGGAAAGCTGCTGATATAACAGAGGAAGAAGATCTCAACTCCTGTTTTGTTTCTGTCTTTCTTATTAAGGACTGGACAGGGGAAAAATCACCTTTAGAAAGAGGAAATGGAAGCCCAGGTGAGGTGTAGTGCTTCTATGAGCCAGGCCTCAGCGTGGTGTTGGGAAGAACAGACAGAGCTATATTCAAAGATGCCATCAACTTGCATGGGGTAGAGGGTCTCCAAGAAGCCTGTTGGACTTGGTGATTTTTCAGACGCTTTTTGAGTTTAGAGTCTCTGATAAAGTAGTCTTTATTTGAATTCATTATAAGCAACCTTGAGTCACCCTAACCCACTGTGGCAGTGTGGAAAGAGGCTTTGGAAGTCAGTTTGATTTTGTACTCTGTGCCATTATTAGCCACATAATTTTGACAAAATATCTAATTTCTTTGGACATCATTATCCTTAGCTACCAGGACTGTTACATAACAGAGGTTCGTTCTCTCTTTGTGTCACTTCCAAGTTAGTGTCTGCCCACCCTCAGTGGGTACTTCTATGGCTCTAGTTCTCCAAATAGCACTTTTTTTTCTTTCTCATTCCTTCTATTTTTCTTCTTCTTTTTCTCTATTCTTAAAATTATCTCCTTGTCTTCTCCCTGCCCCCGACTCTATACACACATACACACACACATTTGTATCTTTGAAAGAATTTTTTTTTTTTGAAAACAAAGTTCCCGGGATGATTTATATGTGATGAAGAGTAATGCACTTATTTTTCAAAAGCTGCAGAACCTATTGACGGTCTCCAGGAACATTATTATGACCTATGTATGGAAAAGTCCCAGGAAATTAAACCTTTTATATTGCATATACTTCAAGAAGTGGATGAAGAAATTGAAAAGGGGTAAGGAAGACAAATACTTGGTTACATCAGTAACATTCACTGATAATCCTGGAATACTGAGTGATTGGAAAGCCATTTGCAAATGCTTGATAAAATGGACATATTTTTGATTCAGAGTAGATGATGGACACAGTTAGGTCTTGGAGCTAGTGGAATTTACTGGAAAAAAGCACTAGACCAGCAATCTCCAAGTGTGGGCTCCAGATTTATCCTTAACTCCTGTGAGCTGGGTTTATTTATGCAAATCATTGAAGTCTTCAATGTCATTATCTACCAAGTGGGAATACTTTGGTTTTCTTGTGTTTCAGAAATTAAATTACATACATTAAAGTGCTTTGCAAAAGCCGTAGAATATTCAGTAGTTTTAAGTTACTTGGTATAAATCTACATTGTGGTCCCAGTAAATGCTATTCATGATGTTACTACTTAACATGAAGGAAAAATACTTCTATTTCTTTTCTGGGTTTCTTTTTTTATATTTTAGCAGATTGGAAGGAATCACATTAAACGTTGCTGGTAACAGTCGCTTAATGGCAATAGAAAGAGTAACAGGTGAAGATTTTGGGATTCTTTGTAGACTTTTAAAGAATAATCCATATATTAATGGTATGTCTCCTTAAGAATCATTCCTTCCTGCTTTCATTTTCCTGAGTTTAAGTGTTCGTTAGAAGGAATATCAGTTTCTATTCATCTGTGTTTTTCAGGTTTGGATGTTAGGTATAACCTCCTAAGTGATATTGGCGCATGCTATGCTGCAAAACTGCTTCAGGTATTATTTTACTACAAAATGTTCTTAGTTCTTTTTCTCCCAGGACTCGGTTAAGATCCAGTCCTTTCTTTGGAATGTGCCTGCGAAGTTAACCCTCTATTGCAGACTTTACCCTAGAGACACCCAAGCTAAAATGCTGTTTTATGGTTGCATTTTATTTAAGACAGTGTGGTCCACTAATCAGAGTAGGTGTCCTTAAAGAAAAGGCTTTGTTTCAGCCTCAGAAGATTGGCACATACATGTGTATGTCTGTATTTTCAGTTAAATTGTTTAAAGCATCATATGTCATTTTTTATTCCTCCTTTAAATTGGCTTTTTAATTTCCTAGCTGTTGTCCCATTCTCATCTGCTGCAAGTGCTTTTAATGAGCTTAAAATTCTCATATCCATAAAATGGTGCACAACATAAGGATGGAGTGAAGATTTTAAAAAATGAAGGAACCAAGTTATTTTCAGCAACCACAAATAAAAATGCTGCAAAAATCATCATCATCAAAATGTTCTTAGTTCTATTTATGGTGAAACCACCTAGTCTAATGACACAACACAAACACCTAATTTTGTAAAATGTCAAGGGTCCTGACTCTGTGTTACAACACTTGAAATACACTAAAAAGCCATTTTTGTATTTGGTTTCAGTAGAGTTGGTACCTAGAGCCTCCTGAGTCAGCTTTTGTAAACTTGTACACTATGGTTAAATACATAAAGCACATTCATACTTTGAATCATTGATCAAAAATTAATAGTCTTTTTCTTCATACTACAATTATATTTATGTTGATTTTTTTTCTTAATGGTAGTTTCTTTTGCTAGATCTTGAAATTTCCTGGTTATAAAGGTTTTCCTTGGAGGTAAACACTTTTACTTGAAATGAAGCTCTTATATATTATTGAATAATATATGTGTAATTGCTTCTTTTCTCTCCTTATCGTAGAAACAACATAATCTCACTTACTTAAACCTTATGTTTAATGACATTGGTCCTGAAGGTGGAGAAGTGATTGCTAAAGCACTACATGTAAGCATTTACATACCTCAAACTAACATTTTATTTGGGAATTTTAACTTCTGGTAGCTTGGAACCAACAGAAACAAATATTGATGTGAACTTATTTAAATATTGTGCAAATGTATATTTTTATGGCACTTCATTAAAATGTGGACATTATATGAGCCCTTTTAAACTCATTTTTAAAAATAAACAGCTTTATTAAGATATAATTCACATACATAAAATTTACCCTTTGTAAGTGTTCGATTCAGTGGGTTTTTAGCCTACAATGGATTCTTGAATATCACAGGCTTAAACCGCATGCATGGGTCCACTCATATGTGGATTCTTTTTACTAAATAAATGCTGCAGTACCACACGATCCATGGTTGGTTGAATCTGAGGATGTGGAACCTTGGATACAGAGGGCTGACTATAAAGTTAAACTCATTTTCAACTGCGTGGAGGGTCAGTGCCCCTAACCCCGACGTTGTCCAGGGGTCAACTATATTCAGTTATATAGCCATCACAACTATCACTGTTTTTAGAACATACCCCCCCCCCCCGCCCGAAGAAGCCCTGTACCCATTAGCAGTTCCTTTCTCTGCTTCTCTCCCCCACTTTACAGCACCAGGTAGTCACATCGGCTTTCCACCTATATGTCGTCTACTCTGGTCATTTCATATAAATAGAATCATACAATGTGTGGCCTTTAGTGACCGGCTTAATGCTTTCAGGTTTCATCCATGTTGTAACATACTTCATTCTATTTTAAAGCCAAATAACATTGCATTGTTTGGAAGTCTCACATTTTGTTCGTCCATTAGTTAATGGACATTTGGTTTTCCATTTTTTGTCTATAATGAATAACGCTACTATGAATATTTGCACAGATTTTTGTGCACACGTTTTCAGTTTTCTTGGGTATATACCTAGGAGTGGAATTGCTGGATCATTTAGAAACTTCATTTAACATTTTGAGTGATTGCCAAACTGTTTGCCAAAGTGTCTGTCCCTTTTTACAATTCCACCAATATACAGGTGTTCTCATTTCTCCGTATCCTCATCAGCACTTGTTACTGTCTTTTTGATTTGAGCCATCCTAGTGATTATGAAGTTTTGTGGTTTTGATTTGCATTTCCCTAGTGGATAATGATGTTGAACATATTTTCCTATGCTTGTTAGTCATTTGTATATCTTCTCTGGAGAAATATCTCTTCAGATCGTCTGCCCATTTTAAAATTAGATTATTTGTCTTTTTGAGTTGTAAGAGTTCTTTCAATACTCTGGATACAAGTCCCTTAACAGATGTATGATTTGCAAACATTTTCTCGTATTCTGTACATTGCCTTTTCATTTCCTTAGTGGTGTCTTTTGAAATACAAAAATGTTTAATTTTGATAAAGTACAATTTATCTATTTTTTCTTTTGTTGTTTGTGTTTTTGGTGTTATATCTAAGAAGGCTTTGCCTAATCCAAATTCATGAAGACTTACACTAATGTTTTTCTTCTAACAGTTTTTTTGTTTTAGCTCTTTCATGTAGTTCTTTGATCCATTTCAAGTTAATTTTTATATATGATACGAGGTAGGAGTCTAATTTCATTCTTTTCCATGTGGATATCCAGCTGTCCCAAAGCCTTTTGTTAAGACTGTTCTTTCCCCATTGAATCTTCTTGACATCCTTGTTGAAAGTCAGTGGATTATAAATGTGAGGGTTTATTTCTGTACTCTCTGTTCTACTCTTTTAATCTATATATCTACCTTAGGTCATTCCCAAACTATCTTGACTACTGTAGTTTTGTACTAAGTTTTGAAGTCAAGAAATATGAGTCCTCTTTGTTCTTAAGATTATGTTGGCTCTTCTCAGTACTTTGCATTTCCATATGAATTTTAAGATCAGTTTATCAATTTCTGCAAGAAAAGTAGCTGAGATTTTGAGAGGAATGGCTTTAAATCTTTAGACCAATTTGGGGAATATTGACTATTGTCTTCCAATCCAGAACATGGGATATGTTTCCATTTGTTTAGGTCTTCTTTAACTTCTTTCAACCAGGTTTTGATGCTTTGTAGTTTCCAGTGTGCAAGTCCTGCCCTTCTGTTAAATTTATTCCTAATGTTTTATTCTTTTTGATTCTACTATGAATGTAATTCTTAATTTCATTTTTGAATTGTTCACTGCTAGTGTGTAGAAACATAAATGATTTTTATATATTGATATTGCCTTGCTGAACTCAAATTTGTTAAGTTCTAAGTTTTTTTTTTTTTTTGGTGGATTCCTTAGGATTTTTTACATATAAGATCATGTCATGCAAACAGAGAGCTTTACTTCTTTTCCAACCTGAATGCCTTTTTTGTTTCTTTTTCTTGCCTAACTGCCCTGTCTAGAATCTCTAGTGTACAAGGTTAAATGAAGTGGTGAGATCGAACATCCTTGCCTTCTTCCCACTCTTAGGGGAGTTTGAATTAATTTTAAAAATAATTATTTGCATTTATCCCTATGTCCTAATATTTATTAATTAGGACAATTAAATATATATAATTTTTTGTGAGTTATCAAAAGAATGAAATAAGAGAAGGAATTAAACTTTGCATATGTTTGAGAAATTATATCACTTTACAAACTACACAGAGGGAATGTGGAGTGACTACTTACTGGGTGGGTACAGGGTCTCCTTTGAGGATAATGAAAATGTTTTGGAATTAGCTAGAGGTGAAGGCTGCTGAACACTGGAATGTAGTAAAAAGCCAGTGAATTGTACATTTTAAAATGGTTATATTTTGGTTATGTGAATTTCACCTCAATTTTAAAAAGTGGTATAATTTTCTTAGGCAATAAATTTATAGATTTTCCAATGAAAGGAAAGTTATTAAAAATCTGTTTCATTTACTGCTCATTGTTTTGGTATCTATTTCCTGGGCAGTCTTTCTACTAAACTATTTTATTTTATTAAAAAATAAGCAACATTGATGTATCGTATAGCACAGAGAATTACAGCAATTATTTTATAATGACTTTAATGGAATATAATCTGTAAAAATACTGAATTATTATGCTGTACACCTGAAACTAAAATATGATTGTAAATCATCTGTACTTCAGTTAAAAATAATAAGTAACTCTAACAATTCAGTAATAAAGACAGTCTAATTTAAAAATGGGCAAGAGTCAAATAAAAATTTCTCCAAAAATTTTTTTTTTCCTAAACCTTAGTTTTTTTTTTTTTTTAACTGAAGTACAGTAGATTACAGTGTGTCAGTTTCTGGTGTACAGCAGATACCTACATGCATATAAATACATATATTCATTTTCATATTTTTCATTAAGGGTTACTGCAAGATATTGAACATAGTTCCCTGTGCTATACTGAAGAAACTTTTAAAAAAGCTTTTTTATATATATCTACTAAACTGTTGAATTAGATTTTTATCTATTATGCGAAATTGAATGTTACCTTTAGGGAATATGTGCTGTTCCATCTCCATGAAAAACTAATAAGTCTGCAAATAGTAATAGAGCCTCCTAACTCATGTATTCTAAAGAGAAGTCTTTGGGTTAAAATTTTAATCAGGTTTCCCTTTTTTCTTTTTCAGAAGGATACAACTCTGAAACACCTAAGAATGACTGGAAACAAGATTGAAAATAAAGGTGGAATGTATTTTGCTGCAATGCTACAAATTAATTCATCCTTGGAGAAATTAGATCTGGGTGACTGTGATCTAGTAAGTAAATTGGTTATGAGATATTCACGCAGATATTGGATCACTTTCCCTGGAAACTAGCACAGAGAATTGTTAGTGACCAGCTAAATGACAGTCTTATGAATGATTAAACTTGTCTGAGGTCTCGTATCAGAAAAAAATCTTTAAAAAAAAAACAATAATGATAAATAATATGGAAGAATATCCAGTGTAATAAATAAAAACTTTCCTAAACTTCCATCTATTAGCCTTAACTTGTATGTTTTTCTAAAGAAGATTGTGTTTGTTTTGATTAAACAAATATGACTTCATTCATATATTATAAACTTTTATTTACAGAAACACTTTGCAGTGAGTAGTTATGTTATAGCATAAAAACCTAAGATGATGCTAAAAGCTGTTCTGAGACTTCATCTGGCCTGATAATGAGAAGTACGTTTTGCATGTCTTCAAATTCCAGACGTTCTTTTCTCAAACATGCCCTCAAACCTACAGGCCTGCTTTTGGGAACCTGTTAATAGGTTAATGCAAACCTACTGGGACAGGAAAACAATAAGATGGGCCAGGAGGCTCTTTGGGGTAATAGGTTCTAAAGCTTAAGAAGAGGGTAAATGTAGCCAGTATGGTTTTGGGAAAGCATTAATTCAGTACACAGTTGACTCTTGAGAACACGGGCTTGAACTGTTCAGGTCCACTTATATTTGGATTTTTTTCAATAGTAAATACTATAATTGCTACATGATTCCAGGTTGTTTGACTCCATGAATACAAAGGTTATGCATGACCCTTTAAGGGTCAACTGTATTATTTATACATACCAGTCACAGTCCTAGATTCTAAGGATGTAAGAATGCATTGTGGGGGGGAATGTATTGGATATGGTCTCTGCCCTTATAAAGGTTATATTTTAGTTGGGAAATTAACAGTAAATAGAAAAAAGTGCTACAAAGATGGCAAAGTACTCTGATAATGGGGAGGAGGTAATCTGGGTAATAGGATGGTTACCCTAAGACCCAAGAGGTAATATTTAGGAGTCATGAAGGATGAGAAAAAGCTGCCTTGGAGAGTCCATGGCAGGACATTCCAGGCAGGGGGTCCAGCACACACAGACTCTTTTTAAGATAGTGCTTCCCCAAGTCTGGTTTGAGGAGCATTAATGACATAGACAGAGGTAATTTTAATACTCATGTATTTATTTTTCCAAATCCTTTCTATTTATCTCAAGGGATTATGGTTTTCCACTTACAGTAGTGATACAGTTTATAAGTGAAAAGGTGAGTTGATTTAATGGAAAAGTATTAGGTAAATAGTAAAACTGATGCTTAGGTACAGTAAAAATTGTTAGGGGAGGTTGCATGAATGATGAAATACTGAGTTTGTTAGGTTTCAAGAACTGAAAAGCTAGAGTGCCTGGACAAAGGGAATTAAGAGTGCCTTAGAGTGAAGGTGCAAGAGGTTTACAGGGACCAGGTGCAGCAGGGTCTGGGTCATAGGCCAGGGGAAGAAGTGATTGTGTTATAAATGCAAATCATGGAAAGGCTTTAAGTTGAAGGGTGACATGACTGGTACCTGTGAAAGATCACTCTGGTTTCTCTGTGGGGATTTAGAAGGTGGCAAGAGGAAGCCCACTGACCACTTAGTAAGTTTCTCCAGTAGTTCAGGTGGGTGATAAGGACTGGGGGTGGGGTGGTAGCTACAGAGATGGACTAATCTGAGACGTCTTTTGGAGGCAGAAACTGTAAAATTTGGTTATCAGCTGATGGGAGGATAACAGGACTGGTGGAGCGGGAGGAAGCCCAGGTTTTCAGGCATAACAACTAGGTGTGTGCCCATCACAGAGACGGGGGAAGATTAGTCCGTTTCATTAAGGGAGAGAGGGAGGCCTATGGGAGCTGTGAAAAATGTGATTAATAACCTCTTCCTGACACACACACACACAGAGACACACACACAGAGACACACACACACACACACATGAAGTACTAGTATGAAGTAAAAGAATGCCTGCACAAGGATATGCATTCTAAGTTATAAAGAGCCCTAGCGGGGATTCACTTGTGTCTGTGTATCTGAAGTCTGTATCATAGAGAACCTTAAAGACTTAGAAGCAAACCTAGAGGTAAACGCCCTAGGAAATGGATACTGAAACTTTTAAAAAAAACTCCCCATGCATGTTAGAGATTTTAGGGCAAGGAGAAAATAACACAGTTAACAACTAACTTCTGAATTTGATCAACCTACAATTCAAGGAGTAGGAAATAAAACTTTTTAAAAACACAATTTTGAGTTATCAGAATCCAGATTACTGATCTTGAAATATTTATTTAGGGAGGTTAATTTATATACTTTGTCAGTTTCCTTAATGAATTTACCTGTTTTTAGGGAATGCAAAGTGTGATAGCATTTGCTACAGTACTAACTCAAAACCACACAATTAAGGGATTAAACCTAAACCGACCTATATTGTACGGCGAACAGGTATGTATTCAAAGCGAGCAGTTAATTGTGCTGTATGTGAATGAAACAAAGGTACTACTTACTGAAGGTTATGTCAAGATTCATGAATGCATTGTACTTTTGGAATTGTAAACTACTGTTGACAAAGAAAAACTTGAAAAATGTTAATTCTTGATAAGAGTTTTATAAATTTGGTTTTAAATTACTTACTTAAACAGTAATCATGTCTTTTTTCTCATAAACTCATTCTCAGTGTGGTAAGCCTGTGAGGGGCAGAGTGCTTAAGATGAAAGCAAAAATGATTAAAGTTTTAAAGGCTGGTGGATTATAAGAGCCCAGTGTGAACTGTTCTGTTATTTGTTTTTGTTATATTGATGTGATGAACCATCACCTTTGGAATCATGAGTAATGGCAAATTGCATATGAATAGCAATCTGCGAAGTCTGGACTTGATTCTGTAGGTAAGCTGCAAGCTGGAGACAGAAAGATGATAAAAACATGATTCCTACTTTCAAGGCTTTTCCTTGCTCTTTAACATTCTTTTAGATAGCTTTCCTGTCTTACGAGCAAAACGGGAATAATAACTCATTCTACCATTGATCTAAACAAAAACAGAATAGATCTAAAAGACAATGTTCAAGGACTTTATATAGTCTTGAAATTGTCTACCTCGCTGTTCCCCATAAGTATGAGTAATTGAGAATTAATCATATTTTTAAAGTATTTTTCATATTCATAAATGTATTTTGCATTCTTTGTCTACATGTCTCTCTCCCTTTGGGTTATCCTTGTACTCTTCTATGCCAAAATTTTTGGAATTTTATCATGTTAATTGCTTCATGTATTTAAATGTAATATGCTCAACAAGACACCCAATCCTCAAATAGAAGAACCTACTTTAAAAACCCTAAAAACACCTGGCTCAAAGTAAGCATTCAGTAAATTGCTCATTCCTGATTCTTCACTCAATAAATATTTGAATGCAACCTGAAATGAGACACAATGCTGGGTGCCAGAGATAATAAATCAAGGCACATAGCCCTCGTTTTCAAGGAGCTTTTTTTCAGTCCACGTGGAGGGAGACCGAGAGGTCTGGAGAGTGACATGCTCAGGGTGCCTTGGGAGCAGAAGGAAAGACACTGAAATCAGTGCAGGGGGATGAGAGGTGGCAGGGAAGCTTCCCAGGTTGAGGACATGTTAAGAGATTAGATAGCTAACTCAAAAATTTCTGGATTAGTATGTTAAATTATATGAAAAGATGAGTATGTTAAACTATATTAAACTATGTTAGACACACAGTTCCTCTTTTAAACATGTGGTGTCATTATTCCCAAATCCACCTGAGAGTAGGTAAAAGCTCGGGGCTCTTTCTCAGGCCAGGGCCTTGCTCTCAGCCTGGTGCTTCTGGGCAGTCAGCTGAACTCTCGTCTGCTTTCTATTTCTCTCCAAGGCAGCCACGACCCTCTGTATCTCTGAGAGTACTATTCTCTTAAACGGTTGTGGAGAAGAATTCTTTTGTGCTTCTTCATACTCTGCTCCCAAATACAAGTGTGCAAACCTATTTCATTTAAGGATTTCACTGTTCATTATCTGGGAGCTTGGAAAAATACCAATGCCAGATGCTGCCATAAGCAAACTAAGCCATAAACTCAGTGAATGAAGCTTAAAAAAAGAGTAACAACAAAAAACAACCTTTCACTATTTCTGATACTCGTTCCCTCCCTTAATAAGGGTGGTCCATCTTTCAAACTTCTTGACCTATAAATGCAATCAAGGCATACACCACCAATCCAGACACCATGCAAAGCAATACTGGACCTCCTAAGTGGTCAGTTTGCATCTGAGATCCCAGGCTACAGCTTCTCTCTGGACATACACTTTCAGTGTCAAGGCTGTAACTTACTAAGATAACAGTGTTACAAAATATTGAACAGTAACAAATGCTTTGTAGTTTTCTACAGAACACTTATTTTGTGCCAGGTACTTTTGTTAATTTATTTAATTCTGTGAGGGAAGTGAAATGTCTACTTTATATAGAAAAAGAAACTGAGACTTAGCTAGCTGAAATAATTCGCCCAAAGTGATTTAGCTCATACAAGGTAAAGCTCGCATTTGGAGTTATTATAAAGCTCATATACTATTTTCTGTTGTTATGTGGTTTAACTTTTATTTTTTCTTAAGGTACTTTTACATAATTAGAGCATATATAGCTATTCATGATCAGCATTTCCAGTGACTATAAAACTTACTACAAAAACGGCAATCATGCAACAGGTCTTCTTACCATAAAATACTTTGGCTCATTCATTTTAAGACATGCTTTGATTCTTTTAAAAATTTAAAGTGCTTGGTATTCAGACCCTCACTGAGGTTACATACCTTTTGTCTGAAAGCAGCTAGGTTCTGGAATTAAAAAAAAAAAAAATCCTCCAGTGACCAGAAAACAAGAGTAAAACATATTTAGAAATTTGGGATGACTATAAAAGGGAGGAATTGGATATATCACAGGATTAAGGAGTGTATTTTAAGAACAGAAGAACAGAATCATGATTGGGCAGTGCCTTTGTATTTTATCTAAAAACTACAGAGAAAGGAGATCAAGAGCAAAGTTTAGGAACACAGGGAAGGTGTAAGAGCACCCTGTCTTGAGAGGACAGCAGTAAGGGAGCCTGCATGCTCAATACGTCATGGGGCCAAATGTTCTGATTTTTTTTTCCCCTTCTAGAATGAGTGTTGCTTTTTAAATAATTATTATGATTTTTTTTAACCAGCCTCTTTTATGTCACTTAGTCACTGCATTTTACAAGTGCCTGCTGCCTGTTTCTAAGCCAGTAAAAGATATCACTTGTGGCAAAATGATTTTTTAAAAAAGCCATGCCAAACAAATACAAATCGTTGACTAGGAGTCTTAACTGATAAAATCATTTTAAAAAGGTAATTTAGCACGTTTGGAATAAACATGTACTGCTCCAAAATAATATTTTTAAAAAAGATCTTATCTATTTTTAGGAAGAGTCCACAGTTCATCTAGGCCACATGTTGAAAGAAAATCAGTGGCTTGTTGAACTACGCATGTGTAAGCATGATATAAAAAACTGTGGTATGAAACAGTTATGTGATGCACTGTATCTGAACAGAAGCTTACGCTACCTTGATGTCAGCTGGTAAGTGACAATTTATATATTAAGTTAATTCAGGAGTTAAATCATGGGAATAATCTATGTAAATATTAATACTACATAGGATTCTTTGTTAGATACTAATTCCAACTAATACTAATTCCAAAGATTAGAAAATGCAACCATTTGTCAACTGTTTATCATGTGCCTTAATATTTATTTAGTTTATACTGATTTAATAGCTCCTAATAACTTGAGTGAGTTAAGTGAATTTAAATATGTAAGCCTGAATAGAAGTAACATTTTATGGCAAATTTTCATTAACTTTTTTGGAAACTGATTAAAATAAATTTTTACTAAAACAGAAAGTACTGCTTATTAGTCTATGTTCTCAAGCATGTTATCTCTATGAATAAAAGAACAATACCTCATATTTTCAAATATAATTACATAATTTTCCTTTCCCAGCAATAAAGTAACTCAGGATGGAATGGTGTGTTTGGCCGATGTACTGAGAAGCAATACTACCCTAGAAGTAATAGATCTTTCTTTTAACAGAATGGAAAATGCAGGTGCAAAGTATCTCAGTGACACTCTTGCTTCACACAACAGGACTCTTAAAGCGTTAGTATGGTTTTATATTTAATCAAAGTAACAGAAAAGACTTAAATTTTTTAGAATCTGACCTCAGACCTCTTAACTCTTAAGATTCATGATGAAATATGAAAGCTTAGTTTCTAAATTGACATACTAAGTTACAGGAAACATTTTAATTTCTTCTATTTTTTAAAAGTAATGTCCTATAAAAATTAGATGACTGCTTAAGATTAATGAGAAAATTTTTAGTTGCTTTTATTATTTATTCTTAATTCTAACAGAAAAATCTTAATCATTCAGTATGAGTAAGACTTTAAAATAAGAATGAATCAAAGAAGAAAATATTATTTGGATGACTTTATCCTGAAAAATGTATCTGTAATCCATCCGCAAACCTTTACTGAATAATAAATAGAAAACAACAGACTGTTTATTTCCAAAATGTAGGTACATGAAGCATCCAATTAGAAAACTAAATTTCTTGGATTTTGTGAATTATTAAGGTCAATATTTTGACTACCACATTGAACATATTTAATGGTAAGACTTAACACAATGAAATGTGTGTAATAAACTCTGTTGCTAGCTTAGGCGTTCTCTTTGTGGAACTGTTGGTTTCCAGTGTTGCTGATTACTTTTTGCTTTTCCACAGGTTGTCAGTGGTAAGCAACAACATAGAGGGAGAAGGACTTGTTGCACTTTCCCAATCAATGAAAACAAATCCCACACTCTCTAATATTTACATCTGGGGAAACAAATTTGATGAAGCTACATGTGTGGTAAGTTTTTTCTTCACTGAAGCTTTTCCCAGGGTCTTCCCTATATTATCAGACGTTATTTACCAGTGCCTTAGACATGATTACAAAGTATAGTGAGACACTACAGTTTTGATAAATTTTAACATAAGTCCTAACTAAAAATTAGCTACTGGAAAGTTTCGTGGTTGAAACAGCAAAGATAATCAAATATTACACATTAGTATAAAGATCACTGAATTACCCAGTCCCTGTTCCTCCAAAATTCAGTTTTTAAAAATCACATTTGTTGATTTAAATTTGATGTGGCACAGTCTCCAATCTGCTACCCAGTAATTAAACCAAGACAATTTGGAGTACAAGCTGTTGAAATATTTGGTATGTTGCTTATGTAAATACAGAGAACCCTAGATACTACCTTCAAGACACACAAAAAGGATAGTGACAAATAATTCTCATTTGGAAAGAAGAGAGAAAAATGTTAAAATTCTCAAAAATTGCCAAAAGACTAACCAGAATTTCACCACTAAAAAGACTAATAAAACTGTACATTATTAAAAAAAATCCTTGATTTCAGAAAAACCTCATATCCATATTCTATACATTAGGAGCTGAGTTGAGTTTGGAACTAATAATGACCAGCTAACGCAGAAAGCAACTAGACTATTGAATCTTCTTGTACTGTCTAAGGATGCTGTCTATTCTGCCTTTCTCCAGAATCACCTTATTGACAAAGGGTGTTTGTATGACACCCTTATGTAGGTATCAGTGATCCATAGAAGATATAAAAAGAAAATTCTACAATGAAGAAATAGTTAGGCGGCCAGCCAGGCCAGCATCTAATACTATGGGAGCTGTCTCTCTCAGCCCAAATCTGTAGATTACCTTCAGGAGGTCCATGAACTCCACACAGTTGTATGCCAAAATCTGTGATTGTTTACTTTTCTGGAAAGTGGATCCCTGGCTACCATCAGATCTTCGTAAGCATATACAACAGCCCTCCCTACTCATTTATGAGTCACCTTGGGACTTGAAAATTCTTACCATGAGACCTTTGGTTCACAAAACTGGTAATTCATAGAATTGTTATCTCTACGAATCTATAACAACAAAATATGCCTAATAACATTAAAATTTAGAAATGTTTTGTATGATTATAATTACATTTTGTGTGGAATAAAATGAATAAAAAGCTACAACACCTGGAAAATATTAAAATTCAGCAATGTTATTTTAAACTGTAAATTATCAGCTAATTTGAATATTGAAATTTATTTAAGCACTGTAAAATGAATAAACTATTTTCTTTATGATACAGCTTTTCTTAAAAATCCTAGGCATATTCAGATTTAATTCACATGGGTCGTCTAAAACCAGACAATACGGATGTGGAGCCATTTGTGGTGGATGGACATGTGTACCTTGCAGAAGTCTCCAATGGCCTTAAAAGGCATTATTACTGGATACCAGGTTATGGAGCAGCTTGCAGCCAATCATCTAATGCAGGTTTTACTCTTGTACCAGTAGGTCAACATCTGTGAAAAATAAGCTCTAAAATAATATTCAAATATTTGTCTTACTACTTTCACAGAGATAATATTTTATTGCCTATTAAGATTTTCTTTCATAAATTAGAACGTTACTTTCATCAGATGGGTAAAAGAGATATTAAACTTTTAATAACACTCCATTGTGAAAAACTGAGTAGTGTAATTTTTTCAAAGAAATTTTACAAAATAGGGACTAAAATTTGAACCCTTGGAGAAAGAAATCATCAAGGAACTAATTTCTTTTTATAAAGAAAGTATTACCAAATAGTAGAATAGCATACAAGGTCATTGTAGGTCTCCTAACTGAAAGCTGTCATCGAGTGGTAAAAAAAGGTTTCAGGTGACAGATCCCAGGGGCCTTCAAGGGGTTTACAGGCTGAAAAAGTATTTTAGGTATCTTACAGATGGGTGTTGATACACTTTCACAAATACAGGCAAATATATATAAACATACACATATACCAATACATATAAATATATACTTTCCAAACAAGTCAATGCTGCCTGTGAACTTTTAAAGATAGTTCTCTTTTTGGAGGATGTAATATTTTAAGAATTTGATGGCATATAATTCATAGTCTGTGGCCAATCTTGTTTCTCTTCAGAGAAATCTTAATACACGATGATCTTTTGATTACAGACCTATGTTCACAAATTTGTTAATTCATACATACCACTTAACTGCTTAATCTGAATGATTTATTAGTGCTCAAGCCAGGCAAAGTATGAGAAAAAAAATGTAAAGGGAGGGTATAGCTCCAGTGACAGAGTGCATGCTTAGCATTCACAGGGTCCTGGGTTCAGTCCTCAGTACCCTCTCTAAAAATAAAAAAGAAAACCAAGTTACCTCCCTCCTGAAAAATAAATTAAAAAATTAATTAATTAAAAGAAATGTAGACAGTTTTAAAAGGTCACTTTATAAGTTCTGCAGTCTAAAAGAAGAAAAAAAACCCATCTCTAAATGTTGAAGAGGAGGTGGAATAAAGGTGGGGGTCAGATTTACAGTTGTCAAAGTATTGGCCTTCACTTAAAAGTATTGTGAATTCCTCAAATCATAGCTGTATTTATTCCAAAAATTTAACATTACAAAAAAATGACATGTCATTGTCCATTCCTCTGGTAGATTAAGCAATTAAGATAAATATCTCCTACTCACTGTTTAACGATTATCAAGTTTAACAGGTCTTTCCTTTTGTTCAACACCTAATACCACCTTTCCATACTCCCTGGGGAGGTTGGGGTAGGGGGTTAGGCAGGGAGGTGGGCACAGATGGTGGTGATGGTGATGAAATGGGAAGAACATCTGAATAAATTATATAAGCCATTATTTTCACTTAATGTTCTAGATTATTGAGCAAGAAAAAGACCTAAATGCCTTACCACATCCATTCTCATGCTTTCAGAGAGATGAATTTGAATCATTCAGGACAGATGGTTTGCTATCAGGTTGAGTCTGTGCTGAAAAGCAGTCTTAAAACATCTGGAATTGTTTGAAAAATAGTACTCATTAGTTCATGTTAATAATAACAAAATGTGTGAAATCGATTTCAGGGCCTTTTTTTTTTTGAGAAGTATTGTTTATATGTTATATTAAAACTACTACAGTCTGATAACGGAATTTTAGAAATAATGACCTTCCACTGTTGCAAAAAACATCTGAAGATCTGCTGTCAACAAATGTTTACAATGGAACTGGCAAAACTGCATAGACTACAGAATTCTACAAGTGATTTTATGTATCCCGACACAATGACTTTTTATTAATTATTGATTTTACTCTTAGTTATTAGCTTTTACCAAGCCTTAGTTTACAATGTTCTCTACATGTTTCAGATCTTATTTTGTTTCCATTTTAAGATCTCTCCTCTGTAGATATAAGGACTAGTTTTTTTTTACAAAGTTCTTTTATATTATTACATGATGAATATAGCTAGAACTAATTACTTGTATCTAAAAAAAGTTGTACTGTCTGAGGAAAGTCATGTCTTTGTATTGTTAAAAATGCAGTAGTAAATGAAAAAAATTTGTCTTTTGATCAGATTTGAAAAACTGCAGAGTTGAATGCTATGGGAAAAAAATATGAACATTTTTAACTGTCATTATATTTGGAAACCATTAAGCTGGTGAAGAAATGCTACTCCTAGCAATCAGAGAGCCAATAAACTGAAACCTAAATAACAGTATGACAGACTTCTTACACTTGAACATCTGTCCAGACATACAGATAGTTTAAATTGAAGACACTGAATTAGCATTTTTAAAAGTGTGGAGCATCAGAATCACCTGGGGCAAGTGTTAAAAATACAGATTCTTAGTTAGACTTACTGAATCAGAATTTTTGAGGATAGTCTGGGGAATCTGCATTTTTACAATCCAGGTCACCTTTAATCTCACTAAAGTTTAAAAACCAATGCTCTGGTTTTCTCATTCTTCAGTTGTTTTTTTTAAATATATACTTCTTTTAAATGGAAGTAAATGAATAGCTAGATAAATTATCACAGAGTTAACCCATCTGTGTTAACCATGATCCGGATAAAGATAGTAAATGCCACAAGCTTCCCAGAAGCTCCTCCAACCATCTTCCAATAAACAACCACCATCATGACATCTAACACCCCAGAGTAGTTTTGCATGTTTTGGAATTTTATATAAATGGAATCATACAGTCTATATGCTCTTTGTATCAGACTTCTTTTGCATAACATTAGTGTAGTTCATTCTTGTTTAATGCAACAGTAGTCCATTCTCCTTCTATTGTTTTGAAGTATTTCATAATATGCTGAGTACTAGTCCGCAGGATTCTGAAAGAGATAACTCTCAGGCTGGGACACAGCCAAATCAAAGTAAACCTTAGTGATGCAGTTTGCTCTCCCAGGCACTCTCTGTTCCTATGTGCTATGGAGGGGAGCCCACAAGTTCTTATATTCTCCCTGGGGGAGACTCAGAAGTTTGAGTGGGAAGCAAAGAGGTGAATTGGAAGTAAGTAGGCTTACCTGAAGCCTGCAGTGGAGTGGCATGTGCTAAACCTGCAAACTAACTCACACTGGACTTCTTGAGACATTTTTGCAGGTCTCAGAGCTTTCTTCTCCACACCCAAGAGAACTAAGGTGAAGCCAGGTCAGCCAAAAACTACTGGGCTCTGACCAGGCTAAGAAAAATCTGATCACGTTATTTTACAAGCTGTTGCCTACTGTATCAGAAGCCAGTAGGATGCCCATAGAATGGAAGAATGAAGACAGCATCTTCCCTGATGCCATTATGTCATGTAAGCCTCCTCCCCCATTTATATGGACACCATTTTAGAGAGAAGACAAAGGGCAGAAATAAGACAGCAATGTTTGAAATGTTTAAGCATTACCTTAAGATATTATAAATTCTATCTCCTTTGTATCAGACTAGGTTTTAAAGGTGCTAGGACTAAAAGTTAATTTCTTCTGCAAACTTCCTACTGGGTGGGAGCTCAAGAGGAAGAATATGTAAGTCCTGTAAGAAAACTCCCACTTCCTCTGCACACCTGAATTGTAATAAGTAAATCTGCAACCATGTATGTGTTACATGTTTCCTTCCATTTTCCTCTTAGCAATCATCCTTTAAGATCCAGCTCACAGCCTCCTATTAGTATTGTAGATACTCTATTATGCTCATCATTTTACAGTGTTTCAAGTGTGAAAGCAAAAAAGCAAGAAAGTGGTTCATACTTTTTAGATACTTGATAAAATGATCTGATTGCTGTACTCTCTGCTTTTCAAACTAAATAGTAGTATTATGTCTTATCTACTACTCAAACCATATCCACCTGGCTTCTACGCCCACTGTTACTAATGCAGCTGTCTTTCTTAAAGGATCATCATGCTCCAGTTACCCAACCCAATGCTGTCTTGATTTTCATCCTATTTAATTTCTCTGTACCGCATGATCAGTACAAAGCCACTATTGTCTGCATGAAACGTGCGCTACTATTTTCTGTTACCTCTTTCTATCTCCTTTTCTGTCTTTTGCTCATTCTTTAAATGCATTTCCCCCAAGATTTTGTCCTCATCTTTATTCTTCTGTAACATCTCCTAAGGTTGCCTAAATCATTTATATCACAATACTTACAGCCTTATGCTGCAAGATCTGTATCTCTAGCTTTAACCTCTGCTGGGTTTCAGTCCTCATTTCCAACTACTGCTAGACATTTTCACATAGGTATCTCACTACCAATCAAATTCAGCACATAAAAAATAGTTTTCTCTTCCATAAACCTCCACTTTATCTTCCCTATCACAGTTAATGGCATCACCATTTACTCAATCACTAAGGATTTAAAACTTAATGTGTCTAAGTCAGGGCTGCCTAACTACAAGGAACAGAAACTGACTAAAGCCTGCTTAAGAAAAAGGAGATATACTGTACGAACTTAAATAGGCAAAAATAAGTGGCAACCAGGAACAAGGAAATGAAGAATAGTTGTGCCACCTCAAGAATGGGATTGCAAAGCCAGAAACCAAGCCACTTCCATCTCTTCAGGGCCTCAGTCACTTGGTTCTGCAAACTTGCCTTATCCCTTTGCTTTGCGCTATAGATCAGCTTTCTCTGCTTCTTCACTATTTCCTTTAGACTTTGGCTTGCTTCACTGACTCTGGGCCAGTTCTAAATTATTTTTTTCATTTACATGTATACCAATACCTAGTAAGTGTCTGAATTTCATAATTCTTGAGAAAAAAGCTCAGTTGGCCTAAGAATTATTTCTCCCTGCTAAGGTGTTCATTGAGCTGCAGTCACAAGTATGGCATCACGTGTTACAAATGTGGCTGTCTAATCCCTGCCCTTCAGCAGTCAATTGTGATTGAGTGTGAGATCCTGGATTATAAACTTGGCTATCTAATCCCATTCCTTCGGCACAGGCTAAAGGTAGAGCACTATTTCAAGATGGTATAGGTGTAGTGCTAGACGTACGTTTGATCCCTACCTTTCACACTTTCTTTCCATTCTGCCTACCTCAGTCAGCTGTGAACAAATTCCTCCCATTAGCCATCTCCTCTTGTTTACCTGCCCAGGGGAGCAATGGCCCTTTCTCTGTCCATTCATCTTCCGTTAACTGCTCAGCATTTCCTTTCTTGCCTCCCCGGCACTGTAACACTTGGCATTCTGGCTTGTATTATTGCCAGTTATATTCAGGCTTATCTTTCCCATCTGACTGTATACTTAAAAAATGGAGGATATCTTACTCATCTTTGTAGCTTTATGCATTCTGATTTCAACAGTTTTCTAGCATTCGAAATAATGGTCAGATATTTTAATCCAAGTATCTGATTCACATCTGTGGTGTTTAATTTTAGTATATTCTTCTTGAAATTACTCTACTTCTGGATGATGACTATGTTTACATGATAATTATTATCTAAATCCCTTAAGCAAATACACCAAATGTTTCTTGCATGAAGGGGGTGCAGTGTTGCAGAGCACAGAAGAGTAGACCATATCATTGTCTCAAATGCACCAATAACTAAATCTCAATATTTTTCATAAATAATGAGTAAAAATGTAGAATTTACAGAAATTACATTAAAATACAATTACTTTTTATTTGGTGGTATTTCTAGCCAAGTTCTAAAGTCTCAAAATCTCTGAGGAAAGTTCTACCAAGAGCTTCATGTATCAAGAACCCAAATATCATATATCAAGAGCCCAAAGGAAGAATGCCAAGAAATGTTTAGGACAATAGTTCTCAATGTTCAGTATGCATTAAGATCACCTACAGAGCTCTTCCAGCATGTTCTAGAGATCATCTAAATCAGAGGGCCTAAGGTGGGGTGGGGCTTAGACACCATTATTTAAAAAATATGTTTCTGATGTGCATCAAATATTAGAGCTATTATTCTAGGATATTTTAAAAAACGAGTACATGTACACTGTTTTTATATAAGCATAATTTAACTACTCTCATTTGCACAATTTCTGTAGAAATGAAACATACAGAAGTGATAAACTACTGTTGCAACAGAACAGACAAAACCTTTTCTTAAAAAAAATAAAACTTTCTAAAATTTGTCTATCAAAATCATCCTATGAAATTAAACATAAAACAAATACCATTTAAAAACAGCAAAATCATTTATATATAATCTATGGTTTCTTTTTAAAAAGCCTAAAATCTAACAATACATTAGGAATAATCTAATACAAATATAAAACAAAATTAACTTAGAAAATGTTTTTTCAGTAAGATTTTCAGCATCTTAAAAAGACTTTCAAAAAACTTAGTAATACTTTAAGAACAGACCTTTCCCAAAACACTGCATTGTACAAATATATTTAAAAATGAACTTAACTAATATAATTATGAGTGTTAGAATGATGCCAGATACAACTAAAATATATGCATATTATGATAAAGAATAATACAGCATTATGAGAATGACAAGACAGGATACTGAAGTATTCAAGCTTTCTTTGCACGTCATTCTGGAAGAGCATCAAGCCATGTCACTTTAAAATAAAATTATTTTAGCTAAGAAGCAGATAATGTGATGAAGAAAAGCACAATAAATCAACTTTAGCTACTCCAATCCAGTAATTCTAAAAAATAATAAATTTGAAGGCTAATCTATGTAAAGACAGAATGCTAATTACCATCATATTAGAGGAAATTTGGTAACTACTACCCTCACAGAATTATAACATCACTGTGGCAGTTTTTAAAGAGAAATTTTGTTCATTAGATACTGAGATTAATGAGGATGTGAATTAAATATAACCTGTCCATTTCAGTAGACATCTTAAAAAGGCTGAGTCCTAATTTCCTTTAATTTCTTCACATTCCAGTTCCTATTGAATTTAAGCCAGAATAGATCAGTTGAACATTTTATAACTTTATAAATTGTACTTAAACTCAGTATATTAAATTAACACATATGCATAATTATATTTCTTAGATACATTAAATACAAAGTTTGAGGTACATTATATAAAGGCAGTATTTCAAACTCTATTCAATTAAGCCAATCCCACTGGTGGCAATTTAGTGTGAAAATGCTGAGTATGCTGTGAAATGTTGATGATATGTACAGTTAACAAGAATTTAGTAGTTTCATTAAGTTTTCTGGTTGGTTCCTATGAGTAGGACCCCAAAGAAAATAACAATTAAAGAAATCAATACCAATAGAAAACACATTAATTTTATTACAGGTGTAGTTTCAAAGCAGAAAACAAATAAGCCACAACTAATGCATGGCAGAAATAAGAAATAATGTCACCATGGTGTTTGATCAGCAGTATAGGAACTGATAATTTAATGTCCAAAGATTAGACAGTGAAATAAATCAATATTTGGGAAAAATGGGATGGGGAAGAGTAGTAAATATCAAAATAAATCTGAATTTTCTAAGTTCATTAGGAAGGAAAAAGACTACTGTGAAACTATAACCACCAACAACTGTCATGGTTTAATCTATAAAATTTAAAAACTCAGAACTTATAGAAAACTCAAGTATAAAATGTTTAATAAACTGACTTTCTGATAACAAATGTTCACTATTTAATTGAAGTTAATTTCTTAACTATTTATGAATATAATGTATCAAATTCAGAAGCCAAGTATTTTATACTATGCATTAAGTTTCTATTTAGAAAATTCTTTTTAGGATTTTATATTTTTAAAAGTGCATAAGAGGTATAAGAGGCTTATCAAAAATTTTCAAAACTCAGTATATTTTCCTCATCTCCAGTAATCTAGAAGCCTATTAAAACAATCTGGATCAAGTTTCAAAACTGTCTTTAATAAGATAAAAACACCAAATAGCTACTTAAAATTCATTTTGAAAATGTAGTCTCAGATAAATCAGAAGTACTGACCACTGGTTTTCTCTAGAATACTGAGTTCTAAATGAACAAAATTTACATAGTTTTCTAGCTTTTAAGAGAAACACTTTTTGTTTCATTAGAAAAGTTACCTCCAATGGACTGTATTAATAGAGAAACAGCACAATTCTTATTCAGTACTGAAATTTTCTCAGGTACATTGTTAGGCAGAAATATGAATTTTATTTTCCCCCCATAGTTTGTATTGGTCTATGGTTTATGTATTGATCCATCAGCACCTCTCTTGGGCTGATACTATCATGGATTTCTTTTAAATTTTGAGGGGAAGAAAATAAATTCCACAGGTCAAAAATCATAAACTGATAGATTCTACTTGAGTAAATGAAAGGCAATCTAAAATGCAAAATAAAAATGGAATTAAGGCAGCTCTAAAAGAAAGTAAAACTTACCCACCCAAAAGAGTGCTAATGTAGTATAATTACTCATTCCTTAAAAAGCTGTGTATATGACTTAGACATAAAAACCAAATATCAAACAAGCACTGCCCAGTTACAATGCAGCATTAGGTGCTTTTACCTCAGTGAATGAAAAATAATGGCCACAACTCAAATGAATGGTTAATTTAATATGAATATATGCACCTTACCAGAGATGTTTATGTTTACTACCAAGGTGTCTTAGCAATTCCATATTTCTCACAAAGTCAGTATAACTGTTGTAAAAAAATCAACTGTGGTTCTGAATACCCATTCACAGTTGACCTCAACAATGTATCTGATGTAGGAGACTGATTATCTGTGACAGGCAGAAGCATGTGGTGGTCCTCAGTTCCAAGCGGAAGAGTTAGTGGTAAAGTCATATCAGAAGGTTTCACATCTAAAGTTTCTGATAAAGGACTTTTTTGTATAGAATCTTGTTCACTCAAGGGATGATCCTCTATACTAGAATCTAGAATTTTATCTGCACCTGAAATGGAAGAGAAAAAAATTAACTCTCTTTAAGAACCAAACAAAAACCCTGAGGAAGACTCAATCTATATACCATCCCCAGAACTTGCATTCCAACCTCACACCTTTAGCCATACTGTTTCTCTCTTGCTGATTTGCCCTTCTTATCTATATAAATCCATTGTGGGTTTGAAGATTAGGGTCAAGCACCAACATCATTATAAAAATGGACCTAACTGTTCTGGAGCAGGGTAAGCTGTTTCTTACCTATTTTATCACTTGTTTGTCAGTTTTTCATATACCACCCTGTGACATCTATCATATTGCTATTTAACATTCTCCATAGGTATGCCTTGAATGCTTAACAGACTGTAAATTCCTTCAGAGCAAATGTCAAGTTATACTTCTCTAATTCCTTCAAAGTACTTAAAAGTGCTATACACATAATAAGTATTCTGTTTGTTCACTGAATGTATTAATGAGTAGTTCATATTCATATTATTCAATGAGTTCAAGTTCAGAGATATGGCACTCTCATTTTCAGAAGAAATTCTGCCCTACTCAAGGGAGTTATTATGCCACTGACTAAAGATACAGTTTTTTCTTCAAATTTTCCACGAGCTTTACCACCTTCTTATCACTCCAAAGTACTGACATGATTTCAGTCTATCTCTGTTAGACAAAATTGTATATTTGCTTTTATAAAGTTTATCTTGTTTTTGCCAGACTATTCTTCAGTTCAACCAGCCAAGAATACAGCCTGTGCTGTCTCATCCCAGTGACTCTATTCAGTGTTCTCTCTGCCTGGGATGAAACTTCCCTTTCCCATCTCCATCCTTTGAACTCTTCTCCACCTTTCAGGTTCCCTAGAATTAAGCTTTTCCAGTATTCACCTCATTTAATCTCTTCTTCAGCACTCTTGCATCTCTGTTATAACCTACATTTTGTCTTGTAATCATAGTTATTTAGATTTCTGGCCTCCCACACCAGATTGTAAACTCTTTGAGGACTAGGACTACGCTTTGTTTACCTTCATACACTCTGCAGTCATGTGTGCTTTAGAGGTATTTAATAAATGCTTGTTGAATTAATGTCTCAAGGAAGTTTTCAGATGTTACTTACCTTAAACCTCATGGTGTTTATGTTTACCATCAAAGACTATCATCTCTATAAACTGAAGACTAGTGTTTTGTTTCTAATCATAACAGAATGCTTAAGCATAGTGAAACTTTCTCAAGGATTCATTTTAAGCAACAGTCTGAAAATTCTATAGCCAACAGTGTAAAAATTCTTTCCATTTTCATACATTGTAACAATTTGGGGCTACCTGTTTCCCTATTTCCGCTAATATATTTCTCGACCACTGTTCATGATGCACCTACTACAGTAAACCCCAAGTAACCCAGACTCTAGTATGAGGAAGAGTAATATATAGTTTGTTTACATATTCTTTCATTCTTGAAACTGTTCATACATTAGGTTTTTAAAGGAGGGACTATTTCAAGCATCATTTATTACAAGGTCAATACAGAAAGAAATTCAGAATGAATTCATCTGCAAATTATAAAGCTACCTTCCTCATATGTGTGGACCTAATTTTTAAAAATATATATCTAATTTTTATATTTTTCTATCTGTGAAAAGTATTTGGGTCTCTTGGGCTAAAATGGACTTCAAAATTTTTCCAATTAAAATTAATGTGAAATTTAAATTTAAACTGTTGTACATCTTAACATTTTAAGGAATAGCACAAATATAAGAGCATCAAATTTTAAAAACACACAAGCATTTACCAGAATGGACTTTAGTCTTGTGCTTCTTTAAATTTTTAATATCTGTGTAAGAATTTCCACATAATTCACAGATAAATGGTCTTTCTCCTGAAAAACAAGTTAAAAAATTTAAAATCTCAGTATTTCAGAAGCTGCTAAGACAAAAATACCAATGTTGATGAACACAATACAAACGTTATTATACTGTTTAAATTTAGTTCAAATTACTATCTTAATCTCTTGGTTCTAAGACAGTGAAATGAAAACTTGTATACACATAGGCACTCCTTCATACAAAGCATCCCTATTTCAGGAAAAAAATCACACATTTTCATTAACAGAAATTTCAAACTGAAGACATAACTTACTCTTTTATTTCTATCAGACATTTATTGAGTGCCAGTTATATGCCAGACTCTGGCTAAGAGATGTAGCTGGGGGAAAAAAATGCATGATTATGGTTTCTGCTCTCAGGCAACTTACAAATTAGAAAATCCTTTAAAAATACAGAATAAAAATACTACAAAATTATAATTCTTTTGAAATAAGAACTGTTCAACGCTTTACAATGAAGACTGAGGAGTATGAGAATATAGAAGTTGCCAATAAATTTATTAACTGTCTACTAGGTGTTCACACTACACCAGATAGGAATTATAAAGTATAATTTTTAGAAAGAAAACAGTATATTTTCAAAGTGGCATTTTCCTTTGTTTTAAACACTTTTGTACATTTAATATTTTCTTCATACTACTTACATACTACCTTTTATAACAAACATGTCGATATTAAAATGTATTCCTAAAACTTGCACAGTGAACACGGTTTAATAAGGAAATCTGATACTATCTTGGTATTATCTATTCCTTTTCATTTTTTGGTATATCTGTGCAATTTAATCCAAGTCATTTAAAAACTACTCATTATCAGGCACATTTCTTAGAAAATCTACACAATTCTTGATCAAATTTAATTCACACTCCCAACAACTAAAAAACAAAATAAAAAGTTGATATTTATACATTAAAATATTGCTATCGCTAGAATATGACTAGATACCATATAGTCCATAATGGTTTAAAGTCAAGGTTTACAGAAAAAGAAATTAGAGAGAACAAAAAATAATACGTTCTCCCTAAACACAGACCTGTATGGGATCGAAAGTGTTTGTTGAGCTCTCCTGAGGAAATAAAACTTTTCCCACAAATACCACATATGTATGGTTTTTCACCTAGATGGAAAATAAAAGATAGCGAAGTGGTGTACTATACCAATATAATATTTATCAAGTACAATAATCTAAAGTAAGCTGTTGTAGAATATTATTTAAATTCAAACCTCTTTATATTGTACTTCAGAGGTATTTTCAGTGTGATCCAACTTAAAGGAACATTAGTAATTATTTTACACTGCTCATGTAACCTGATGCTTTTCATATATTAAAACTTTACTTCTGTAAGTATCCTTCTAGTAGACTAGAGCTGGGCAAGAAGTCTGATTTTTATATAATTAAAAACATGAAAATTAAACAATCTGTATTTCAATTCGTGCTATCTACAAGATTATTAAAGTGGAATAAAATCATTTAGGAAAGATCTATTAAAAAATTACCCTACAGAAAATGAAAATATTTGAACAACAGATTTTGCTTCAAAATTGATACTTCGGGTTTGAAGTATCTGTTTAATTTGCAAATCTTAGAATGTCTGTGTAGAAAAAGTCCTAAGAAGTTATTAAATCAATGGTCTACCCAAAACCACCCCAACCCCTTAACTTTACCGTTTTATCCAAGGGAAATGAAGATATAAGAGCCTAAGGAGTTTCTCTAAGGTCATAAAAAATGTCTCAAGTTTATATACTGTCAAAATTATCTGATTTTAATGTACAAAGTTACAAGATAAATAATTTCACCCACTGTGTATTATTCTAGAAAAACGTCTGCTTTTATATCTAATATTTATGTGAAAATCACAAACATAAAAAGCCTCAAGAAGGACAAACAACAAACATATAACTAGAAAGCTTGTAACCAATCTATTTTTTTGTAAAGGCTCAATTTCCCTTTTTCTTTTATTTGTATTTATAACTTTCCTTATTTTAAGCAGTCTCTGTATCAAATTCTTACCTGTATGTTTTCGAGAATGAGTGATAAGAGAACTAGAGACAGCAAATGCCTTTCCACAGGTATCGCACACGTAAGGCTTTTCTCCCGTATGCCTTCGAACATGATAGGTCAGTGTGCTGGCTTGGGCAAATCTCTGTCCACACCTATCACAGACATATGGCTTCTCTCCACTATGCTTCCTATCAGTAAATAAAATTATATGTTGGCAAGTAAAGCAATCTGGGGATCACTCTATATAGCAAACATTTTTCATACAATTTTTCATGTAGTATTTTATTTCATATTTCATTTCATCTTAAGATATCAAGAATATGTATTTAAAATCAAGAGTTTAATGTGTACTGCCAAGACTAAATGTTTTGGTTGTTATCAAAATATTAGTTCTGAGATTACTTCAAAGTTTGTCATCATCTTTATATGGTAGTCAAGTGCACCTATAATTCTGTAGGCAATCATTTTTGCTTGTCCATTCACTCACTCTTCAAAACTCTTTCCTCAAACCTCCAGCACCTCCTCACCCATCCTCACTCTCAGCTGATGTCCTTGCTTCCTGTTTCACTGAGAAAATTGAAGCAATCAGAATAAAATTTCTACCACCACAAATCTCCACTTATAGGCGGCTGTATCTTCACATTTACTTTTCTTAACTCTAGTATGAGAATGAAATCTGAATCCAACTACTCCCATTTGTATATGTAAGATACTATTCCCCTTGCCTACTCGATGATATTGCTCTTGCATTTTTTCCCTCCATCCTACATCATCCACTTTCCCCACCCCTTTGGATCACAGTATACAAATATACTGATGTCCCACCTTAAAGGAAAAAAAAAGACCCCTGAATCTTACTTGCTCCTCTATTTTTCTGCTCCCCTTTAGTAACATCCTGAGTCTCCAACGGTTCTACTTTAATTTCTTCTCTGCTCATCTCTTCTCTACTAGCCTCTGCTAACACTACTTTTGTTAAGAGCACCGCTGACCTCTCACATTGCCAAATCCAGTAGCTGATTCTCAGTCTTAATCTCCCTATCATCAGAATTTGACATAGCTGATCACCCCTTTCTGAAATCATTTCCTCCACCTGATTTCAAGGCAGCCCAATCTCCTAGTTTGTCCCTATATTGCCTGCTCCTTCCTCGTCGCTTCTGCTGGTTCTTGCCCATTTCCTAGAACTCTTAAAGTTAGTGCACCTCATGACTCCATCCTTTGATCTCTTTTCTACTCACCTTCATTCTCTTGGTGACCTTATCCAACTTATGCCTTTAAATACTATCTATATGCTGACGACTCCCAGATTTGTATCTTCAGCTCAAAGCAGACCCCTGACTTCCAACTGTCTATTACATGTTTCCACTCAGATGTCTAATAGTCATCTCAAATTTAACATGATCAGAACTCTACTCTAAACTCCTATACTCCCACTTACACTGCTCTATTCACAAATCTTCATTTCAGTTAACGGTAATTCCATCTTTTCAGATGCTCAGGCTCAAAAACCTCAATCATTTTTAATTCTACCCTTCCTTTTTTCTTTCATATCCCACATCCAGCATGCAGCAAATTCTATTTGTTGAAACTTTACAATATGTCCAGAATCTGACTAGTACTTATCTCTTCCACTGCTCTCTCAGACCTGAACCATTATCACTCTCACTTGGGTTTTATCTACAGCTTCCTAACTGATAACTGTGTTTCCACTCTTGCAATCCTATAATCTTTTCCTAATATACAGCCAGAGTGATCCTTTTAAAAATGCAAGCAAGACCATATCACTTATTTCTTATTCTCAAGAGTAAAAGCTTTATAAAGGCCTATAAAACCTTCACCATCTGGACACCCTAACAATATTCTGATCTTATTTCCCTCCCTCACTTATTCCCCTCCAGCCACCATGGCTCCCTTGTGGCTCCCTGACTGTGCTAAGAATACTGTGTGATGGTACAAAATTAGAACTGTCCTGAATTCTAATACAATAGTCTACTTTAGGACTATAGTGAATAACAGACTCAAAGATCAAACATTTATTTTTTTTGTTTTAAATTTTTACCTTGCATGAATCTTGAGATTGCTAGAAGTTGCAAATTGTAAATTGCATACATCACATTTATAGGGTTTTTCCTCACCATGATGCATGCGACTATGGAAGACTAGCTGGCATTTCTGAGCAAATCCTTTATCACACAGTTCACATTTGTATGGCTTCTCACCTAAAAGAAAAGTAAAATTTATATTTAGAAGGAAATACTGTCTTAGTTGCTTAAGCCATATACGCTTTCAAGAGTCCATCAACAATACTAGTTTCAGTATTCATAAAATGTTAACTGCTAGAAGTAAAAAAGCAAATAGGATCTTCTTCCATACTGACTACTGAAAACAGCAGTAGAATTAAAAAGAAATTAGTGTTTCTCAGTTCATAAAAGGTGATCAATGAGAAATACATATGCATCTTACAAGGTACAAATCTAAGTGTACCAATAAAGGTAAATCTAGAGGCTGAGGAAGGAATGTATATATAATTAACGTTCAGAAGTCAACAAAGTCTAGGAAGCAGGTGGTGAGATGAGCTGGCAAAATCTGAGAATCAGACTGGGTTGTAATTACATTTCTCTTTATCGATTTTAATATATTTGTTAAATACTTAACAAGCTAAAACTAAGTTTATGCTTATTTTAACTATGAGAGAAAATGATTCTTAAAGAACTCATGCACTGGGACTTCAGAGTATCAGTTACAATGAGACAAACAGCTACTGGAAGGGAGGGTATAGCTCAGTGGGACAGCGCATGCTTAGCATGCACGAGGTCCTGGGTTCAGTCCCAGTACCCCAGTAACAACCAAACAAAAAACCATTAAATATGTGGTCACAATTGGACACATTTTCAAGTCTAACCTGCTCAATGATTTTATGAACACAAGTGTATTCCAAATTTTGGTCACAAATAGTCAACAATGTATATTACTATGTCTATAAAAATATTTCAGTCACAACATAAAAACAATCACACCTACCACAATCCAGTCTTACCTGTATGAGTTCTTACATGCGTTTTCAGCTGGTTACATTGGGTAAATGCCTTTCCACACAAGTGGCAGACATAAGGTTTGACTCCTTTGTGTATTCTCATATGCCTTCGCAAGCTGCTGGCTTCTGAAAACACTTTCCCACATGTGTTACACATTGGCTTGGCCTTAGAATACCTCTGATCCAGCTCTTCCCCAGAGCTCTCCAGCTCATAAGAGTTCTTGACACTGGCTATATTAGACATAGAGTGTTCTTTCAGAGCACAGTTTGGCTGTGATTTTCCACGTTTCCGTTTCACTGTAACAGTTTGCACAATGTCTTGTGCTGGAAAAGTATTTTCCACAACTGATGTCAACTCGAGTTCTGAATTATTTCTTTGTGCAACTTGTTCTATTACAGGGGTGGAGAATTTATTTGCATCTAGAAATAATTCAACAGATGCATTCTCTAAAATGTCATTGGGATATTGCACTGTTTTGTTTTGCCCTGTTTTCTGAGAGTTGAAGCCCTTCTTCTTCTTTTTAGTTTGAGACGACTTCTTTGCTAATGCCCCTTGTTTAGGATTTGCCTGAACTAAATCTGTAGACACTTCTGATTTCTCCCGACTGTTATAATCTCGCAGAGTAAGGAGGCAAGTCTGTTGATTCAGTTCAATGTTTCCAGTAATACTAGATATCTCTGTAGAAGAGGGATTAGCAATAAAAGCAAAATCTTCCATCTTTATTTTACATTTAGTGACCACCTCTTCCACTTTGAGATAGTCAGCAGCCTGATGGATTTCTTTAACATTCCAACTGTAAGGAAACAAGGCTAAATGACAACATTCTGATCAAAGAAAAAACGTTTCTGAAACAGAGCTACAGAAATATTTCAATGTTTTTTAAAGGTCTAATGAAGCAGAATGATGAAAAAGGCCTAAGAGAACAAATTTATAAAATTTATTCATTCACTCAGACTGTTTGGCGTAAGTCTCCAGTTTTACAGAACTTGAAAAGATACAAAGTAATGACTATTCATAAGTATAACCATGAAAATATACAGTGTTAAAATTTCTGCCTGTTTTAAAAAACACCTGGAACACAAAAGCAGCTGTTGGCAACTTACTGCCTCTTCCCATTTATCCTGAGGCCTCTTCAGATAGCAGACTTTTCTGGACTAGCAACAGGAAGAGTCTAAAAAAACTATTATCTTCCTTGCTCCCCTGTGAGGGACTTTAACTGTGCTTCTCAAACTTACCTGTGGATGTGAATCACCCAGGGATCTTATTAAATGTAGATTCAGATTCAATATGTCTGTACTGGGGCCTGTGCATCTGCATTTCTAACACAATTCTCAGTGATGCCAATGCTGCTGGTCCATCGATCACACTCGGAGAAACAAGGTTTTAGAATGCACTAAGCTCTCTAGAAACACTCCCAACTTTTCTGTGTGGTGTGATACTCAAACCACATTAGCTAGAAAGTCTGTCATTTTAGAGTCATTCAGAAAAATTCTGATCACTCTGTTCAACATTGCAGTCAATATTTACTGAACAACTACCATATGTGGTCCTGAAAGGAATACTAAGAAATATCAAATAGTCTCTGCCCTCTATAAGTTTACAATGTACTGAAAGGTTGTTCAATTATTCTAGCACTGGCTCTGGATTACTATCGGGATTAACTAGGGTAAATCAGCATCTTCCACCTTTCAGTTTTCTTAGCTATAAAGTCAGAGAGCTGAGTTGGTATTAACATTAAAAATATGCCCTTTTAATTATTTGAAGATGGATATAACACACGCACATACACAAACACATACCTTCCTATTTGCCATCTTCCCCAAATATTATTTAATTCTTTAGGAAAATTAAGTAGATTTTGTAAGCTAGTTTGGAAACCTAATCACCAGTTTTGGGGAACATTTTATTCTCTGGGAAAATACATCCTAAGTTCCTAAACATACTACAAATAAACTTTTGGAAAACATTCTGTTTGCAAATAGACTCCCTTAGCTAAGAAAACATTACTTAAAATACTCTTTTCTTATGGCCTCTGGCTTTAATTTTGGAGCAAATAACGCATGATTTTGTAATCAAGTTAACTCTATTTGCAAAGGTATTGCACGAATGCCCCAAACATAAAAACAACCTTATTTATCTTTCATACAAAATGTTTTTTGCATGTATATAGCACTGTCACTCTCTAAAAACATTGTTTCTTCTTAAGCATTTTTATTAATTTTGTTACATAATCTATTAAATTACAATAAATGAGAAATAGTAATAGAATGTAACCACACTTACTCTATCACTTACTATATTTAGGTCTCAAATTATAATTGTGCTTAGTGCTCCATAAAAGGAACTACCAATAAGATGAGGTAGCTTTAAGACCAAACAATACAAACTAATACTGAGTCATGCACTAATTGTTCAGTAGTGACAGCTATTCATACAATTTACCTATTTCATAGATAGCCCATAATCTCAGTTAAGAGAATCAATCACCATTTGTTTATGTCAGCAACTTATCTGCTTTTGCTTACAAGCATAAAGTTATAATGCTTACAAACTTGCTTTCACCCTCTGAAGTCACTGAAAGTCATTTTAATTACATATTGTCAAGTATATGGCCAAGTCCTTTATATGAGTAGTTCATTTAATCCTTAGGACATGCCTATGAAATCTATTATAATCTCCATTTTACACACTAATGAAATACAAATGAAGGATCGGAGTCCAAAGAAACTAAGTAACTTGCCCAAGATTACAGTGTTAGAACTAAGATTTGACCAAGGTACTCTGGTTCCTGAGTCCAGTTAATTATTATTCTGTTTTCTTAAACATAAGTTGTACAGACTTTCTATTTTTGGTATACGTCTTCTCTTACATTTGCCACTGGGCTCAATTAACTCCCCAGCTCCCCAAGAAAGATATGTATTAAAAAAGATTGAGCAAAACATCTGGCTCTTCTTCACATCAGTTCTTTGCTTGAAGGATCAAAGTAAGGTGCTTTTCAGCATGTTCAAATCAATTCAAGATTTTTCTGGCAAAGTTAACTGAGAAAGGGAAAACACTAAATTGACAATCAACCGAAATTCACTGGTTTTGATTATTTTACGTTATAAATTCTAAATTTTTAGATCAAAGGCACTTGTATAGACAAATATTCAATTTAATTTGTCCTGTAACATAAATATATGACACTGCTTTGTTCCTTTAATCAACCCCTATACAGAGCTGACTCAAAGATTTCATTATACCAAAATTTAGAAATACTTTAACATGAGTATTTCCTTTTCAAAAGGATTAAGGAATATCTCTATTCCAGCTTTTAAAAGAAGTATATTTCCATGCTAAGCTGCAATGTAAACATGTACATGCATATATCCACAAAGTGTTAAGAGTGGGTGGCAGAATTTTGGGTTTTTCTTTTGTTTTTTGTTTTCCTCATCTCTAAGAAATGTGGAATTAAAGGGCTTGGAGAGTAGGATAGAGAAGAGGAAATGAAGGAAAGAAACTAATGTTCACTGAGAGGCAAGCCTTCAAGTACATCTTTAATCTTCACAGTAACAACTAATGTAGTTATTATCATCTTATTTTTACAGATAAAGAAAAGGAGGCTTAGAGAAGCTGTATCTTGCTCAAAGAGACATACTGACTGATAGGCAAGATCTAATTCTAAAGCCCATAATCTTTCTAGGTCAGGTGATGATCTGTTCATGTTTACACTTTCATAAAAGATGGAGAAAAGAAGACAGGAGTAATTTAATTGGTTTCTCTTTCCTTTTATCCCCACCACCTTTCCCCCGACAATCAGTAAATATATTGGTATTAATCTAATTATATAGTTTATCATGTCTGAGAGACAAACAGTGCCTGCGTATCAGATTCTTCTTGTCAGTGCAGTGGTAGCATTGAGCATCTTAGAGAAGCATTTTAGCATCTTGGACCCAACTTAAGCATTAGTATTGATAGCTTTTACAGAGCTAACAAGAGTCACTGCCATTAATACTCCAATGAAGTTACTTTTCTGAAACAAGATCAGGAAGAGGTCCTGCATATTGCTATTTATGGCTGGTAATGGGAGCACTATTAAATGAACTTAGAGGTTCTTCCTTCTTTCTCCACCTCCACCTCCCCACTCCAAGCACAGAGTTTGGGAGAGAGAAGACCAGAGGAATATAAAGACCAAAAAGCAAAGGTAAACTGAAATTCACTTAAAATCCATTGTATTTTGACCTTTAAGTTTACATAACTGAAGTCAGAGTTTGTTTCAGTAGATAAATCAAACGTGTCAAAAACAATGCTCTAGTTGTATTAACATCTATACTTTTTTTGTGCTTATGAAATTTAGTCTGTTTATCCCAAATCAGTGATACCAACTTCTTTATTAGAAACAACAACATTGTGCACAATATTTGAAGTCTCAAGACTTCAAGGACTGAATAAAAAAAAAATTCAAATCTGCTTTAGCTCTGAAGACCACTGACCAGCTTTTATAAGTAGAAATAAAATGTGTACTTTACCTGTCAAGATTTAAAGTTCCTGTGTATATAAACTCCAACAGTTTTTGAAATCCATCGGCCTTCACCTGACTCTGATCAAGAAAGACATTGTTCTCAGAAGTGCTTCTGTAGATCGCACCAAAATACTCACTAAACGAGGCAAGCACATTCCTATGAGCCTTAAACTGGAATTCCCCGATCACTATGGTGCAGTCACAAAGAAAACCTGCTTCCCGTTGTTTGTTCAGTCTCTCTAAAAGGTGCTCACAGTGGTGCGAATACTGCATTTTGAGATCAGAATCGAATTTTACCCTTGTTCTAGAAAACAAAAAGGAATAGTAAATAAGTAACCCTAAATTTTCATCACTCTTCACCCAAGCAGTTGGTGAGTGGAGAAGGGACATGAGACCTACCACCAAGAAGAAGAAAGTCTGTTCTCACTTTATGCCCCCATAAAATTTTTATCATACAGATATGGTTAAAATGCTGAAGTAATAAATTCCTTTCTAGCTTTTATTTCACCGTGGTCAACTAACACAATCCTTTGAATACGTCAATAAACAGCGATCCAGTGAAAACATTCCACTAGGTGAAAAAAAAAAGCAACACAAAATTCCACGCTTTTGCATTAGACTTTCAAGTTCACTAGGCACACACGTAACAGGAAGAAAATTCAATAAACCACTAAGAAGTGATTCCTTGGGACAAACAGGAAAAAGAACACGGTACGCGTTCTTTTAAACTGCCCTTAAATCTTTGGAACCTATTAGCTTCCGCGGTGCTCACAGTTGCTTCAAAACCCAAGGCGGGTGCCGAGGGGGCGGAGAATAAGCAGGGCCAGCAGTTGTCAAAGGTTTGGCCACTCGCCCCGAGAAGGCCACACCCCCTTCCTTCTACCCTCCCCACCCGGGATGGAATCGGAAAGTGACAACGAGAGCCGGCCTCTGCTGGCTTCTGCTTCCCTGACTTTCGCCCAGCTCCCACTCCCGCGAATTCCCACAGCAGAGGTTGTGGCCAAGGCCAACACCGGGGCTGCCTCGCCCAAGCTTTCCGCATTAACACCTTCGCTCCGACCTGAGCTGGAACTCCAAGGAGCCTGCCCTCCAATGTCCTAGGGTCTGGTGAGAGTCGGGATGGCATACTGGGGGCGAAGCCAGAACTCACCTATAGCAACCCAAAGAGAGACACGGTTTCTTCACTCTCTCTCCGCCATCTTGGAAGGACGTCACCTCGCCACGCTCCGCCTCTCCCTGCTTCCTCCACGTCGACGTCACATCCGGCTCCAGGTGTTCAGTGGCAACACCACAGGCTCTAGGACCGTGGAGGTCCGACACCTGCCTAGGGGAAAGAGCTGGCGACATAGATCCCGCTCCCTACCATGCCAAGGGTCCCCGGAAACAGGGAGCTTCTTGGATACGAGACCTAAGGGCTCGCTCACAGCGTTCCTCCTGTCTTCATTCTGAGCATTTCGGTTGGCAGTCAGCATCTCGCTCTTTGCCCTCCGGGACCGAGTCTGGGCCGCGCTGCGCGGCGGGCCTCTTTCCTGGAGGAGAAACTGCGCATTGCATGCTGGGGCTTGTAGTTAGTTGCTCGTCTTCCTCCATCATCCTCCCCTTCCTTGAGGCTTTACGAGTGGGAACAGCTGCTTTGTGTACTCGGGCTTTCCGCCATGGGGATTTTTGAGCTGAGAGTGATCACCCATTTTTAGTTTACGTACTCCAAAGCTCTTGGGACCCCCTGGGTTTTGTTTGCGTTAGCCACCTGGAGCCCAGTTTCCGGAATACCCTTACCTGGCGCTAGAAGTCTGAGATGCCCGACAGCGGAGCAAAGCAGTAGGGCACACTGGGCATGCGCATGGAGAAAGGTGGGCTTTACACCGGAAAAGGTTTTCCTGCGTCTGGACTAGAAAAATTTTAGTACAATTATTGACATCGAATTTAGATTTTGTACAATGAGGGAAAGGGGTACCAGTTATCTGCCTAATATAAAAAGACACAGAAACAGTGAGGTAAGTCATGCTGAAATGTTAGGGTGGATTCTTTCCTACTACCTGTGAACATCATAAATCTAAGAAAACTAAAACTTAAACATGTTTTTCTCGTTAAAAGTTGTGTCAAGACAATAGGAAACTTACTCGCAACTTTATTTTAACGGACAGTCTAAAGTTGAATTTATTCTTGTCTCCCTTGAGATTTTCTTTTCTAACCAGATTCTGTTTGCTCTCCTTGTAACTTCTTTCTTGGCGGTAAGACTTATATTTGTGAATGAAACTATAGCCTTTAGAATTAAAAGGAAAAAATTTGACGCTGGTTCTCTATTGATTACATCTTAATGAGTAAAATTTTATTTCTGATTCCACTTTTATTTTTGTCAGAACCGTTTTAGGTAATTTATTAATTCAGAAATATTTTAAAGTCTCTGCAGATGTTGGAAACCACGTATATAGAAAAAGCATAAAACATCGCCTCTGAAGTTTAGCGAAATCTGCAATCTTAAGGGGAAAATTAGTGGAAACCAAATGACTTGTAATGCAAAGAATGTTCAAGGGGCGACAGGGCTTACCAGTTGTTGCACGGTATTTGATTACCCTTGATTACTAGACTGCACATTACATTACTTTTTCAGTTTAGTATCAGGTTGTTAGTTGATTACAAAAACTTTTTTCAAAAGCGTGAAGCACTTTCACGTGCAAGCCGGCAATAAAATTATTTGGTGATGAAACAAAACAACACCCCTGCTGAAATTCAAGTTCTCAAGGTACTGCAAATTTCTAACAAGATTATGTCTTTTAAAGGAATATAACGGGTAAAGAAGAAAAAGACACCGCTGTTTCCGCCCGGTTTCGAACCGGGGACCTTTCGCGTGTTAGGCGAACGTGATAACCACTACACTACGGAAACCTTGCTGCGTTAAGGTGCTCAGAAACTCATTCATATCACTGTTTCAACATCTAGTTCGCAAAAATTTAAAAGTAATGTTAATGTAACTTTTAACGGAATAAAGAGATTTTTTAAAAAGGGAAAATAACCATATGTCCAATTGAACAGTGCTAACTATTTCAAAAGTTGGAATTTGCGTACACTTTTTCCAAAGCCCTTCAGGGAACCCATCAGTTGCCCTGCTTTTGAGTATACTTTCTCCTATGGAAAAGAAGTGTTATATACTAGTTTATTTTCTCCGCGTTGCTCTGCTGAGAGTTCAAGGAGAATTTCCGGGCTTTAGCCGGCTACAAAGGGGCCCGCCGCCCTTGGGTCCCGGAGTCCCGCTCCCGCAGCGGCGCGCAGCCCCAAACTCCACAGCTGTTATTTAGCTAGTGAGAAAGCGACCCTTTCAGCCTCTGGTGGAGCGAAGGGTAGCTTTTCAATTTCCTCCTGTGCTTTTGTACTTGCTTTAGACAGTATTTGTTTAAAAATCTTCTACAAGGTGTGCAAAATTGAGAGGCTAAAAAAAAAAAAAATCAAACACCAAGATGCACTTTTTGGCACGCAGTGTGCACACATTTTTCTAAGCCTGAACTCCATATGACCTAAGAAATACCATTTTTTTCCTGCAAAGAGGCAGACACGTTCTTATGCCTAAAAATAAAAAATTTTTAGGGAATGAGAATGAGCTTCCATATTACACTGAGGTGGGGGTGGGGTGGATAACCACATGTAATTGCTAAAAAAATTTAAAAGTGAGATTCTACCATTTTGGTTTTGAGTACATTTTGCTTAGAAACCACGGGAAAGAAACACAACAAAGTATTTGTCCAGTATATATAGAAATAATAAAATTATTTAAAACTCATTTGAAATCCTAACACTTTTTTCTTTTTAGAAGTTGATGAGGGTTTCAGAAATCCGGATGGTGCTTCGCGTTCTGCAACTTTCCCCTGCCATCTCTCTGCCTTTTTCCAGTTTCAAGGGTGCGTTTCAGAGCTTCTCGCAGGCCCCTGGACAGACACTTATTAATCAGAATTTAATGGCTTTGAGAAATGAAACTTTTTTCCTGATATTCTCGGATTCCAGGAGGTGGGGAGTGGTCCAGCCTAGGTGAGACGCAATCGTGGGTGGCACTTTAGAACGCACGGGCATCCACAGAGTTTACTGGCCTGGGGCTCTCCTGTTCCCTGGCCCGCACCTGCCGGGCTCAGGCCCCGCGGGGCCGCGTCGTGGCTTCTGTGACGCGGCGTTCCAGGCTGCCGGCCCCCGCGCTTCACTTTCCGCTCTCCCGGCTCAGCCCGCAGTCAGGGCAGCCAGGCGGCAGGGGGCGGAGGCGGCGACGGCGGCGGCGGCGGCATGAGCTACTACCAGTTACCGGTGGTGATAGACAACGGCTCAGGAATGATCAAGGCAGGCCTGGCTGGTTCCCGGGAGCCTCTGTTTGTCTACCCAAACATCGCTGGCCGCACCAAAGGCCACACCTGTGCAGCCGAGCGCGCGCAAGAAGTATTCGTGGGGGACCAAGCGCAGGAGCGGAGGAACTCGCTTTCCATCAGGTACCGCCCTCTCCCGGCGGGCAGGAACCGCGTGGAAGGGAAGGAGGGAGAGCCCAGAGAGGGAAGCAAGGGTGAGAGCAAGGATAAAGAAGCGAGGATGGGAAGTTTCAGCCAGCCGCCGTTACTGCAAACGCTGGAGCCACAAATCTGAGTGTACCAAACATCTACAGGGTGAACATTATTGCTCTCTGTGTCTATACAAATGTATTCAAATGAATACAGTCATGGTTCGTAAAATACAAGTTCATTTAAGAATATTACTTAATCATGGTACCTTTGTCATTTGGGTTTTTTCCCCCAATTAACTTATATTCCCCCCCTCCTTTTTAAGTCAAAAAGGGTAAAGGGGGAGGGAGAACAGAAAGCAACCAAAATTGCCGAGGAAGGCAGCTGTGCTAACTTTTGCTGGCAGTTACCTTTCTCTGAGAGGCTTTGGCTGTCATTGCCCATAAAGGGTTTACTCGTAATAAATATGAGGATTAACACAGGCTTGAAGAGAATAGAAACTGGAAACATTAAAGGCTGCCATCTATCTTATTGCTCTTCCTGCAGATACCCAGTGGAGCGTGGTCTCATTACTTCCTGGGGGGACATGGAGATCATGTGGAAACACATCTATGACTATAACCTGAAGCTAAAGCCCAGTGATGGCCCAGTTTTGATTACAGAGTCAGCACTGAATCCACTGGCCAACCGGCAACGTGTCACTGAAGTGTTTTTTGAGCATCTGGAGGTTCCTGCCTTCTATATGTCCATCCAGGGGGTGCTAGCTCTCTTTGCCGCTGGCTTCACTACTGGCTTTGTGCTGAATTCAGGTGCTGGGGTCACCCAGTGTGTGCCCATCTTTGAGGGTTACTGTCTCCCTCATGGTGTCCAGCAGCTAGATCTGGCAGGCCTTGACCTCACCAACTACCTCATGATGCTGTTGAAGGACCATGGCATCATGCTGCTTAGTTCTTCTGACAGGAAGATTGTCGCAGACATTAAGGAAACCTCTTGTTATGTGGCAATAAACTTTGAGGAGGAAAAAGCCAAGAAAGCTGACTGTATAGAGAAGGTTTACCAACTACCCGATGGGAAGGTGCTCAGACTCCATGACCAGCTCTTTCATTGTCCAGAGGCCCTCTTCTCTCCAAGTCTCATGCACCTGGAAACCCCTGGCATTGATAAGATGTGCTTCAGCAGCATAATGAAATGTGATACAGATCTGAGGAATTCCTTTTTCTCCAATATTATCCTTGCTGGGGGATCGACCTCTTTCCCTGGTTTAGATAAGAGGCTGGTTAAGGATATAGCAAAGGTGGTGCCTGCCAACACCCCTGTGCAGGTTATAGCGCCCCCAGAAAGGAAAATATCAGTGTGGATGGGAGGCTCTATTCTTGCATCCCTGTCTGCCTTCCAGGACATGTGGATCACTGCAGCAGAATTTAAAGAAGTTGGACCCAACATAGTACACCAAAGATGCTTCTGAATACAGATGACATGGTTAGAAGAAAATGTTTTGAGTATATGTGACAGAAATCTTTGGATATTATATGTTCCTGGGAGAACAGAAAATATTTCAATTATTGGAATGTCCAGGTCTCTGTTGTATTTTTGTAATGGGGGGGCGGGGGGAATAATGGTGAAGCAGTCAAATAACATTTATTGAGTAGAACCAAATTAAATGCTAGAGGAGACATTATTCTTGACCCTGGGGATCTTTCATTTCCCTTGGAGAGAGAACAATTTGTGGTACAATATGATATGTGCCAAATGAGTGACAAAGATTTAAGTTTGTTGAAATTTATGGAAAGAAGGTTGCTAAGAGGGAAGATTTCATAGCAGAGGTATGCCATCAGGTGGCATTAGGATGGGTGTGGGGGGTAAAACAAAAGGCAGATATTCAGAAAAGCATAATGGAAATGAGTAAGAAGCTAGATATGAAGATGCACAAAGCATATTCAAGGCATGTTTAATACATTAGTTTTGTTAAAATGAAGAGCCCATATGAAGCAGACTAAAAGCAATGACTAGGAAGGTAAATTAAGGCCAGTGACTGAAAGGCTTTGTGTTAAATGTCCTACAGCCAAAAGGGAAATCATTAAAGGCTTAAAAGCAGGAGACATAGGGAAATTAAGGTGAATGTGGTGATAGTTTGGAGGATAAATTGGACTAGGAAGACCCTGCAGATTCAGTGATCAGTTTGAAAAGTTATTAGTCTAGATATAAAGCAGTCAAGTCTTATACTTAAAATTATAAGCAATAGGAATTAAAAATAAGAAATTAGGAAAAACTGACAAGTCTTGGTGCCTATTAATTATGAAGAGGAGAGAAGGATCTGCAATGACCTGAGTAGCTGAGAGAATGATGGCAGTGTTGATATAACTCAACGTATTTAGTGTCTGCTCTATGCAAAGCACTGTGCTAAGTGCATTGAGTGCTAAATCAGGAGTCAGATTGTGTCCTTGAGCAGCCAGCAGTCTAGTATAAGAGGTGACATTCATATTTTAATTATAATAATACAGGATAAAAAGTGATTTAGTATCCTAAGAGAAGTATACAGTGGGAAAATATTCATAAGAGGGAATATATCTTGAGGGCTCAGGGAAGACTTTCTGATAGATTTGGCTTTGGGGCTGGGCTTGAAGGACAGATGGAATCTAAACCTAATAGAGTGTTCTTCCTTCTGAATTTAGGGACAGCACATATGGGTTCAGATTCAAGCAGTACCACCTGCCAGCTGCATGATTGAAACAAATTGTTTAAACATTCTGAAGATCAATTTCTTTATCGATAAATGGGGTTGCTAATCCTAATCCCTGTCTGTCTCACGGGGTCATCATGAAATTCAAATGAGACAATGTCTCTCTACAGGCACGTTTACAATGTTATTTTTTGCTTATAGAATTAGAGAATTTATATGCCCAGCTCATGCTACTTCCTCCGAGGAGTCAGAATCTATTACTTGTGTCCTTCAGCACATTATATTACCTGTATTTCTCTTGACCACTTGATGTAGCCTTATCTTTTGGTTTGCTTGTCTTTTCCCCTTATTAGATATGTTCTTAGAAGACAGGGATTGTGGGCTTTCTCTTTTCATCTCTAACCCCCTTTCATGATGACTTCTATAGTATAATCTCAGTATGTATGCAGATGTATAGAATTGGAGAGAAGCACACTACTGGCAGAGGCAACACTAGGGCAAGGGCTCTAAGGTATAAAAATGAGCATGTACAAGAAGCTGGAAGTAATTCAGTTTGGCCTGAGTTTGTGAAGAGGTGCATTTCCTCCCCATTTTAGTGATTGTAAGCTAGACTGGATAAGGTGTAGAAAATGGTTATCTAAGAGCAGTTTAAACAGTTGATGCTGCACTCACTAGATCCACAAGCACTGTAGAGAGAATGATCCCAACCCTCTCACTTTAGAATGCTTAAATTGCTTTTTTTCCTAAAATGTATGGTCATGGCTAACAATACATTTAATTTAACCATATATCTAACTTAAACTTCAACAGCCCAGAGAGATGGGCAAGACAAGTAGTATTCCCATTTTACAAATAAAGAAATTGAGATTTAAAGAGGTTAAGAGATTTAAGGTGATCTACAAAGTAGCTTGCTAGATTAGGCGGGCAAAACAATCCTTAACTGTGGTTTCTTAGGGAGTTAACCCAACAACTAGCCTAGAATATTCTGTATGGACTCTAGCCTCTTCTTCAGGGTCATAACAGATCCTTTTCAGATGGTAATCTAGGGAAAGGAAAAAAAAAGCGAAAATTCCGTTTAGTCATATTTTCCCTTATCCTAAGTCGTATCAGACCAACCTTCATGACATTTTACTTTTCTCTCAGGTCGAGGCAACAACAGCAACAGCTCCAAGGAAGTCCACCCAATTTAACAGGTTCAACTTCTACAATCAGCCGGTAACATGAAAAACAGCATTGTACCGGCCAATATAAAAACGCTACGATTTATGTGCACTGCTCTTTTTTTTTAAAAACGTAATCACAATGCTACATTAACGCAGTCAATGATTGAAAAGCCTTTATTTCCTAATAAAAGGGAGATTCAGTCCTCAAGTTAAAATTAGGAATGAAATAGTTCCTCACGTGTAATAAAAGACATCCTCTGCTCAAGCAGTTGAAGAGAAGGCTTTCTAATGAGAAGCGAGCAGATAAGAAACTCGGAGGCAGGCAGCCCAACGAGCTGAGTCAAGATTTTGGTTTAGTTGGTGCTGGTTGGGAATCAATTTTCGTAAATATCTCTAACAAAAATGTTATCAAAAAAGAATCACTGTTTTGCGTCCCTGGTCCTTAAATTTTTCTACGAGCTCCTTTTTTTTTTTTTTAAGATAGTAACGTGTATTGCGCCTGCTCTAAACAGCACTCAGAAGCAATCAGGTTACAAGTCAACACGTCGAAAGAAAAGATTCAAATCTTCCGCTAACGAACGTGAGGGAGGAGCGGCGGCGATTGCCCTCACGCCCCGAAACAATTTTTGAAAAAAATTTTCTGTGAAGCCCGGCTCTCGCGAGAGCCGCGGCGGGAGGGCCTCAGCCAATCGGCGCAGGCGGCAGCCTCTTCCTTTATAAGGAGACGCAGCCGGCTGCGCGGCGGGTTGCGGAGGGTGGGCCCGGGGGCGGTGGCGGCCATTTTGTATCTAACCCTAACTGAGACGGGCGTAGGCGCGGCGCTTTTGCTCCCCGCGCGCTGTTTTTCTCGCTGACTTTCAGCGGGCGGAAAAGCCTCGGCCTACCGCCATCCACGATTCAGTCTGAAGTAAACAAAAAATGTCAGCCGCTGGCTCGCTCACTACTCCCGGGAACCTGCGGTGGCTCGCCCGCCCAGCCCCCGCGCCCGCCTAAGGCCGCGGTTTGCCCGGGGCTTCTCCGGAGGCGCCCATTGCCGCCGCGAAGAGTTGGTCTCTGTCAGCCGCGGGTGTCTCGTGGGCCAAGGCGAGGCTCTGATCGCAGGGAAAGGAATGGAGCGGGTACCCGCGCGCGGTGCGCATCTCTGAGCTGTGGGACGTGCACTCGGGACTCGGCTCAGACACTTGCAGCCTGAGGAGCTGCTGGGAGGCCTCCAGTCTGCTTTCTCACTGGAAGGAGGGCTCCTTTTGTGCGCGTCCGTCTTCCCTCGCCTGTGGACCTCCAGACTTGCAGATTGTACCAGGGTGCGTGCAAATAAATTGTCAGGACACGTGGCGGCACCCCCGAAATTTGTCCAAATGAATGGGCAGTGAGCAGAGTAGCCAGCTAGCCACTCCTGTTTTTGTCTTAATCCCCTTCCTCTGGTTTCATTGCCCTTTATCTTTGTATTGCAGCGTAGTTTCTGCTCTGCGGATTTTCTTAATGTTTTTTCCTTCCCCGGAGTAGATCCCGACCTGTCCTCTCAATTGGGTGTGGAAGAGCAGTGAGAGAGAGAGAGAGAGAGAGAGTGTGTGTGTGTGTGTGTGTGTGTGTGAGAGAGAGAGAGATAATTAAACATTTCATAAGTATTTGTTAGCTAGGCTTGTGTTCTCAACACAATGGAAATTATGTTCCTTAGGGGTTGTTGCTTTTCACCTTTGCCTCCGTCTTTGGATGCGAAGTATTAAGTGGTGAGAGAAAAGAAGTTTATGAAGAAATACATATACCCCATTTTCCAAATAATTGGGCCAGATTTCTTTTCCAAAAGGTGGGGGGAAGCTAAAGGCACATTAGATTAAAGGAAACAATCAATAGGCCATTCTGCCCACTCATCCACAAAACCTAACTTCCAGGTTGATGTGAGGATTCATCCGAAGTCAGTGCCTTCACTTCCTTAAGACAGCTATTCTGGCGGCAGTTGCTGGGATAGTAGCCAGCAGCCTGAATTATAAAGAGAAATGATCAGTGTGATACCCTGCTGGGCTCTTGACCCGACAATGGAAGGGGTAAGTCAGGAGGACCAGGTCAGTAAATGTATGAACGTGTAGGTCTACAGCATCTTAGCTTGTTATCTGAAGTAGGTTCCTCAGTATCGTCTAACAAATACAATTCTTAGCTCTCAGTTAAGAAACGTGAGAAGTGGGGGTATAGATCGGTGGTAGAGCACATGCTTAGCATGCACAAGGTCTCAGGTTCAATCCCCAGTGCCTCCATTAAAAACAAAAAACAAAACGCTTACCCCCTCCCTCCAAAAAAAAGAAATGTGAAAAAAATTGTAATGCACTGTTTCTGGTAATTTTCTCTAAATAAGAAGGAAAAAAAAGATTCCCAGCAGCGAGGTTCTAGTTCTGATTTTGCTGAAGACTTTTCTAGATTCTTGAAGTTACTCAGCTAGCTTCACTAAACTTCCATTTACGAAGAAAGTGATCTTTTAAGATCTCTTGAAGCTGGTCAGGGTTCTTTGAACTAGAAATAAATAGATGTCTTTTGTTCCTGCTCCACCTAGTGGTATTTCTGCTTCTCCACATTTACAAAATTTGGTGGAACTGGACCTGAGGCAAGGATGGCCACCTACTGGGGGTTCTTATTTTTCTCTTCTTTAAAAGGAAAATAGTGATTTAGTAAACGCAGTTTAAAGAAAGACCACAGCTGTTTTCTAATTCTTATACTTGACAAAATGTCATGTAAATATTCCAAAGGAAAAAGTTCTTTCCAGAATTATGAACACTTGAGGTATTCTTTCTGTTTTGGCAGAATGATTCTCTTCCTTAAATTATATAAT